TAAAGATACTCATTTATTTGCCAACCAACCCAGTAATGGTTAGCATATTTGTTACAAAATCAAATTAAATTTTGAAGATTAAGATATGTTCCTCTTCTGCATGTTTTTCTTTTTGGTACGTCATACTCAAAATAGGTATGCTTATATAAGCAATCCTTATTTATATTTCAGGCATTTTGTAACTAAAATTAATATTAGACTTTCACTTATAGTGCCTTTGTGTTTCAGTTCTCAGCCTAGGACATCATCAATCATGTGTATCTCAGATGATGCAGACAATGACCAGCCTGCGGAAGATCTATGCTAGTGGGTGAGATGATGAAATTTCCTCTGTTGGTGAGTCAGTATTATATTTTTTTGTCAACAACATTCATTGCCTTACATGCATTTGTGCCTTACATTTCTGTCACCAACCAGCTTAAACAAAAGTAGAAGAAATTATATACCTACGTACATTCTTTTGCTGTGTTTGACACCAGGCGATGTCCTAAAATCAGGATACATCAGTGAGCTATAAGTAAAACTAAAATAGTTACTGATGATGTTTAAGGTGTCTGCCGTTCCTGAAAAAGGACGTTGTTCACCTCACTTTCAAGCCTCTTCTGTTACGCGTGTTAGGAGCCACTTTTCATGGCCGAAAATTTGGTCAGAGCCACCAAAACCATTTTTACCAGCCCTGCAAAATGGTAATACGATAGCACATATATTTGATTAGTTTAGTTTCATATAATTGACCACAACGTTTCCCATCAATTGCTTATACAGTAAAAGCGCTGACTAATTACGCCCATGGTCTAATCTGGTCCCAGGAAAACATTGCCATACGAGAGAGCCACAGGAACGCCACATCTTACGTCCTATAAACACTAAACGCTAATGAAACCCTTATTACACAGTTCGAAACCAGATAACCAGTCATCAGAGAAGAATCATTTGAGCACCCGCCGGACGGCCCCTGAGATCCCTGCGCCGCTGCCTGAGCTGGCCAGTGAGTGGGTACGAGCGGCCAGGCAGCGGGGCGTTCTGGGTAGACGGCGGCCGTCGGAGCCGGCACCGCCGCCGCCCGAGGAGCCCGAGTAATTGGCTGTCCGGCCAGCCGCGGGACATGGCCTTGTTCCCGGTAACTAGACGGCGCACTGGCCGCGGCACGGAGCAGCCCATAGTTACTGCCGGGCGTCCGAGGGCAGCTGCAGCTGCAGCCTTGTTACAGAAGTCTCTTAGGTAACGTCGCTCGGGGATGGTACTGCAACCGCCTGAGAAGCCTGGCTGCTGAATGCAGAATTATGTATAACTATATAGTACCTAGTTAGATATTGTATCCCCTATCCAGCATATTCCTCTGCATTGCCTTAGTTTGATGGATTAAATGTCTAATTTAGGTATTGATGCGATAAGCAAATAAGTTTTTTTTTACTCCCATGTGACCGGTGGATATTGAGGAAACGAGGGGCTACGAGAGGAATCGCTACCGTTAACCCGCGCCCTGGTGGGGTCTGTTTATAACGCGACCTGGTGGGGGGGGGCTATTTTTTGCCCCCCCCCCCTCGTATCTCCGAAACTACTGGACGGATCCGCAAAATTCAAACGGCGTTCGAAAGGCCTGTCAAATTTGTCGAAGGAAACCAAATTTCATTGACCTTGGGGTCACCGATGACGTCACAGGTCAGGTCAAAGATGAAATGTTTCACCGTTCACGGGTCTTCTAGGGAATGCGCTATAACACCGAGGAAAACGCATTTTGTCGAGAATCAGCGATAGGGCGTCAGTTGCCTAGTAGATATGTTGCTATTAGAGGTCACTGACAATACCAGGTCACGTCACAGGTCAGGTCACCAAGGGTCACAGGTCAGGTCACATGAGCCCAACTTTACTAAGGTTGTGTGATGCATGTTTTATGGCCAATTTTTCATTTCCAACTCAATGGTGTTGGTTATAAGACTATCAGGTACGGCTTAGGTCACTTTCTGGTGAAGTTCAGGTCAAGGTCAGGTCAAGGTCAGGCCAAAAAAGGTCAAATTTTAAAATTGATAGTTTTGCATTAAATGGGTATTGATTCGATGCAGCTCGTCACGGGGAGTCTAATGGTGGTCTTTGTTTTGCGCTACGGGGTCTAGAATTGCTAAAAATTGAGTTTGAAAATTTGACGTCATCAATTTTGAACAGTTTTTTCGCTATAACTTCGCCAAAAAAAGAGGTATCAATCTCAAATTTGGTATGTGGATGGAAGGCGGTAAGGACTATCACATATATTCCGGTTTTTGCGAAATTCAAAAAACTTTTTGGATTTTTCGATCATTATATCAAAAAAAATTATTTTTTGATTTTTGGGGGTCAAAATCCAAAAATTTCAAAAATCCGAGATAGCAGTTTTGTAGCCCTGTCAATTCTACAGCTTTTATGTCCTTATCATTTTTCTGTATTTGCAAAGCTATAGGCCTGACAGCTCTTCCCGCGAAACCCTTTTTTGGGTCGAAAACGGCAGAACATGACGTCACTCTGACGTCATTTCCGGCCAACCAATCATAGCCTTTGGAAAAAATTATGGTCACCATGTGTAAAATTGATGTCCGGGAAGGTACTGAAAGTTTGGTGACGATCGGCGCAGCGGTTCTGGAGATATATCGAAAAGTCTGGAGGGGGGGCAAAAAAATAGCCCCCCCCCCACCAGGTCGCGGGTTAATGGTAAATGAGTGCAACTACTCATTTCCTAACGAAATTTAGTTAGGTTCTAAGCTTCTTTAATCTTGTTATTGGTAATCTGTAGCGTCCCATACATATAGTTCATCGAGTGTCATCTACAAACATTAACTTTTTACGGTAGCTTTTGATTAGATTGAACTGTTAGTCGGAACGTTATCGAGCTCTCTGGGAACGAGCATCGGAATCCCAACTTTGCCGATATGTTCCAATAACTTCGGGGAGAGATCCGTCTTGAGTTTGACGTCAGATCAAACTATCATTGAAGTCGACCGATGACCTTTCCCAAACTTTTTTACGCGTATTCCCAAGGTAAGTATAAACGTCCGATATTACATAACTGCGTGCGACCCGAGGCCCCCGCGCTCATGACATGTCACATCTTCTAAGTGCTTTCGCTCGTATCGCGTTAACTGCCACTCAGTGCCGTCCCGTCCCGTCGCCGCCGGCCGGCTGCGCTGGCGTCACCTGCGCTGATAGGCTGGCCCGCAGTACTCCCGTGCTGGGCGGAACAGACGGCGCGCGAACACATGGTTGGTTGCTTGAGCCCGCATCGGGCAATATTTGAGGGGCGAATCAGAATGCGTGTAGCGTGTAAATGGATATGGGAGCGAAACAGAACTAAGCATGAGAGAGATGAAAAGCACCACTGCATGCCTATTTTTGTGCTTGAGCGAAAGACAACGAATAACGATTAACTAGCCCTGAACGCAAGCCTACCTATGCCTCCGTGATATAAAATGTCTTTAAGAACTTTCAAATCGATGCATTTATTCCAGTTTCATGACACTGCATGAACATCACACAGCATGCATTATGCATAATGCATTTTGTGAGCCCGGTCAGGCGCCGTCGCTGGACGGACAGCGCTCTGGTCCGACCGTCGGCCGTCGCATACCGTACCTCGCCGCGCCCCGCACCGGCGGCGCACCCGACAGACAGCTCGACATGCGAGCAGGCGCCGCGGCCGACCGCCTCCGGGGACCACGGGCCGTTACCATGGCAACGCCAGATCGGACACACGCCGGCGGCGCCGACACTGTCTGTCTGGCTGCCTCCCCCCCCCCCGGTCACCCGGTCCGCCCTCATCTGCTCCGACCGCGGCCTGGGTCCCCGATAGCTGCTCCGACCAGCACGGCTCAGAGACGTACCCAGTACCTCGACCGAACCCCCTCACCGCCGACCCCGTAGCTACCCCATCAGCCCGGGCGGACCGAACGCTCCGTGAACTGAAACTCCCTCGTTGAGCACGCGCTCTGTGTCGACCGTGTAATCTGGGCTACTCCAGTCTGTCCTAACAGGGCAGCGCTGCGGCAGCACAGCCGACATTGACCTGTCGGGTATTAACCGATACTAGGACAACGACACGGGATACGGACAAAGGGTATGTGTAATTTGGCGCTTAGCGATTGTTAGCGCTGATGGCGCTTTAATCCACCACCTTCGATCGCTAAATGAAACAAATAAAGCATTTAGTTTGGATGGTGGGAAGGCAAAGGATACCTAACTCTTGCATACGTTTAACGTGACCAATTTATTCCGTACAAGACAAATAAAATAAAATCGTTGCTACTTGCTTCTCATTATAGCTGGAACCACCAAAAATGGTATGCCACATTATGAGGTTTGACAGTGCACACGCACAGAATACCTACCATCATTTATGTAAATAATATCCCTTGGCTCCAGTATGACTTCTCAGGAAGCGGCGCCACTGACATTCTTCTGCTGCTGCGGGGCGTGGCGTACCACGGGGGGGGGGGGGGCATCAGAGGAAGCCGGGACCGGGGCCGCGGAGGCCGCTGAGCGTCAGAGGACGACTCGGGACCGGGAGAGCCGAGGTCGGGGGGGGGGGGGGCTGAGCGTCAGAGGATGCCGGGGGAGGGGGGGGGGGGCGCTGAGCGTCAGAGGATGCCGGGGTCGCCGCTCCAGACGGCCGCCCGGTCGCCTTATCGACCGCTGCAGGTGGAGCAGGTGCCGTCAGACGGCGCACAGACGGCTCCCGGCGTCCCGGACGGCCGCCGCCGACTGGGCCGGCACCGGCCGGGTCAGTGGGTGACCAGCTGCCGACACAGAGCTGCCACCGTCTGCAGCAGAGGCGGGCAAACTTGGGGCTGCGGACCGGACGAGATATGCGGGAAGTCGTCGGCAACTCGGAGATAGCAGGGGAGCTCTGTCGGGTCCCTCCCCCTAAATTGCTTGCAAGATGGCAGTGCTGTTCACTGTTCAGCATAAGGTCACAAATCACAATCATTATTACAGATAACGTGCCACGAATGTCAAACGTACAAAACATCGTAAAATAAAAGATCGTAATGAAATATATTTGAACTGTTCCGCAAATAAGCAACAAAATCATTATCTATCAGGTCGCATTCAGAGCCTTTCTGGTGGGCCTGATTTTCATGCTGGCCGCCTTCAGCGAGTACTTGTTGCCTCGCCAGAGTTCCCAGTTGATGCCGTCGGCGTGAGTTGTGTGCGGCCCGGCGAGGTACTGGCCGTTCAGGTTCGAGTCGTGGCAGTTGTTGTACCACCAGGCGCCCTTGTAGTCCGCAGCACATCCTCTAAAATTATCTCTATCTTTGGTATGAAAACGAATGCCGTCGTGATGTGCCAGCCCATCGTTGGCATTTCCGGTGTAGTTGACAACATTGAGCCGATATCCGTCCGATTCAGAGGAAATGCGAAAGTTCTGGTAGATAGCATGTCTCCGTTCACCTTCAAAGTCCTCCAAGTCTATACGCAGTTCGTATTGCCGATCTCTGGGTGATGTCATGGTCCACATGTTGTCGAGGCCCCACCAGAATTCTTTATCCAGCTCTCCGAATCCCTCCTTGTAGGCGGCCCAGTCTCGGTAAAAGTCCTCTCTGGGCAGGATGTCAGCCCGGCGCTGGATGACGGTCCACCGTCCGCCGTCCGTCTCCAAGTCGCAGTAGGCGGGCACCTCTCCGGCGGCCCCCAGGCCGGGCTGCAGCAGGTAGATGCCGCTCTGGGAACCGACCGGTAGGTCACTGCAGTCGCGGGGCGGAGCGGGGTCCGAGTGAGCTCGGTTCAGCCGAGCAGCGAGCGTCTCCAGTCGGGCAGAGAGCGTCTCAAGCCGGGCAGAGATCGTCTGCAGCCGACCGCTGTCCTCCCTCCCTCTGCAGAGCTCACTGACGCGGGCCGCCAGCTCGGCGTCCGGGCGACAGCCGTCCAGCCGGTCAGCGAGGCCGCCCAGCTGGGCCGTCAGCCGGCCGTGCAGCTGCTCCAGCCGGCTGTCCAGTCCGGCCAGCACCGCCCGGCCAGCGGCGCCCTCCAGCCGCTCCACGAACGCCCACAGCTGGTCCAGAGTGCCGACCAGCGAGGCCGGCTGCGTGGCGGCCGGGGAGGCAGTCTCCGGGTCACCGCCCTCGCTCAGGACCCCGACACACAGTGCTGTCACCAGGAGGCCCACCAATAGCGGGCGGTTCACTGCGCACCTCATGGCTCACTGGCTCCGGTACCGGTCCGAGCGCAGCCACGAGATCAGTGCTCTGCGCGGCTGCCGCGGCCCACTATATACGCCACAACTCCAAACATTAGCCGGGAAAATCACACTACGTAGTGCAGCTTTGTTATGAGAAGCCGTGGTCTGTTACACATCAGGGCCTCCACCCACAAACACTGTGTGGCAATGGGCCAGTTAATCAAAGCATGTTGAATGCCAAACTTGACACACCGTCCGTCTAAATTTCAATACAATGCCGCTGTTCTTGCTTTTGGCATGAGTACGACCAAGGACAACCAAAAGCTTATATCTCTCTCTCCAAACAAACCACTTTGTGACAAAAAACTCGTTTGTTCTTCCTAATCCTATCTCTACAGTCAACGTGACGTTTCTGATACAGTTAATTTACCTAATTGAGACAGCTAGCCATCTAAAAAGAATGTGCTGCCGACTGAAGCCGACTGGCCAGCGTCTGGGCGCTGGGGTAATGGAGCATTCGGGAGAGGGGGGAGGCTCTAAAGGCGTTCCGGCAGCCTGCTCTAATCGACGCAAACAATATCCTCATACACCACTCAGCAAATTTGGAGATAGTTTTGTCATTGCAACAAAAGCTTGTAACTTTGAGGAGTACAGTTAACCTGAAATCAAGTCGGTCGTGTGACGATCTCTTCCCACCGTTAGTTATAAGAGAGTTATCCCGATCGCTCTCCGGTATAGACAGAGATCTCCAGACTGGCCTGTATTCCGCAGACGTGCGAGGCGCTGGGTCGTGGCGAGACAGCCACGGACCCGAGCGAGACCCAGACATGACAATCAGACGTTCGGTTCACTATTGAGCGCCAACACACCGCACTACCGACGCACGGTAGTACTGACTAACGGAGTACCGATCCGTCGCCGCCGGCACCCGACGGTACTCGGAGGTACCCTGCGGTACTCGGAGGTACTCGGAGGTACTCAGCGCAGACCGCCGGCACCGAGCGGCGGCCGTCTCTCCTCTCCAAACGCTCAGCTCAGCGCAGCGCCGAGCGGTCACCACGGGGACTCATACAGGGAGAACGCTCACCACTCACCACACATGCCCGTACAAAGCTCACGGAACTGGCCTGGTCGCGCGACAACAGCAGCGCTCGCCCGGTAACTAGATGACAGATGGCACACTGTTAATTATGTCCGCTGAGAAACATTTCAAAGTGTCAGTACATTGTCTAAACATTCATTCAACCATGTCACAAATCAACAGAACGACACATCCTAATTCTGTGAACCAAAACGTTCACCATTCTTTTTTCTGAGATCAGACAGACATGCCAGCAGTCGCAGACATTCCCACAACGCGCTCCAGTGTCGGCAGGCCGGACTGGGCGCCCACAGTTTCACCACGCACGCCAAATCCGTCTACAGACGAGCGCACGATCCCACTTTAAAGCTCTACACAACTACCTAAGCCTTAGCATACGCCGGGTGCTTTCAATAGAAAACCACCACTTTGCGGCACACTCAACATGTTTGCACCCGGCCGACCTCGAGGTTCGAGCTGCTTTGTAAAGCTGCGGCGCGGCGGCCGCTGCAGGCCGGCCGAGGGACCGAGCGAGTGAATCGGTCGTGATCACAGACGGGGGACGAAGCGGTGCGGTGCTGGACAGAGTGAGTTGGGCGGCCGGCCGGCGCGGTACGACGCGGTACGGCGTCGTACACCGGCACGGCCGGCCGCTGGAGGGACATTGGCGCCCCGCGCGGTATGGTACACGGCCCGCCCGCCAGAACGTCCTATCGCCGAGTCGCCTGTCAGTCTGTGTGTCCGCCCGTCTGTGTGTCGTCTGGTGTATGTCTGTCTGTCTGCCTGCCTGTTTGCCTGTATGTCTGCAAGTCTGTCAGTGTCTGTATATGTCTGCCCGTGTCTGTCTGTGTATCTTCCCGCGTCTGTATGTCTCTTCGTCTTACCGTGTATGTCTGTGTGTCTATCTATCTTTCCGCGTCTGTCTGTGAGTCAATATGTCGCGGCGCGCGTGCCTCCCAGATGGCCTCAGGCGGCCACCGGAGACAAGTGACGCCGGCACCGCTCACGCAGGCCAATACGACGGCACACGCCAGCGCCGGCGGCGGCACGCGGCGTGGCGCCTCCTACCCTCATTCCAGCGCGCCGCCTCGTAGATCGGTGAGGCTAAGAATGACGGCCGGCACCGCATAGCCGCCGACGGGGCACCTATGGGCGCAAACGTACCCGGGGCCCAGGCTAAACGACTATCGCGCCAATACAAATCAATTGCATATGTGCTATGGGCGGCGGTGGCGGGAGGGAAGAGGGAAGTCGGTCTGAGCGTGCTTGTAGGGTGGATTGGCGTGGGGTGGGGTAGGGAAGGGTAGGTATCTAGGCCGTCTGTGCCACTGGCGGCCTTATGGACACCTGCACGCCTTATTGAGGTAGACACCGGTCAAAGAACTAAGGTGACTGGCGATTGGAGGTCACCAAAGTTGCAGTATTTCATAATGGTTGTACGAAAAAGCACCTGAGAGCGAGAGGGGAGAAGGAGGGAGTGTGCGGAGGAAAAGGAGGGACCCACGCCGAGGTACACCGTCTGAAACCATCGGAAAGAATAACACTGAAACAAACAGCCTCACAGTCTGTAACTGAGTATACGAGCTGCCATTGAGATGAGAGACGCCCGAATAACAGCTGCCACCGGCAATCTGTTCTGGATGGTTCTGCTCCTCGGCCACTGTCGGTTACATTATACCCGGCCCAGCGGCCTGCCTCGGCCCATCTGCGGACAAACAGACACACAGCGCGGCTGTCGGAGACGAACCTGGTGCGCGTCCACCGTATACTGAGGCCCCTCAGAGTATCGCTGTTTTAGTAACGGCTGCAACTCGAGATATCTGAGCTGACAGTCCCGCATTTCTCAGTGAGACTGCCTCCTGCGGACTGTGTCTGTCTCACAGCAGACCGCCTCCTGTCTTAGAACGGATATTGCCTCAGAGCAGGCCGTGTCCTGTCTCAGAGCGGACATTTCCTCAGAGCCGGCTCTGCCTCGGAGCGGGAATGCCGTGCGGGAGCAATGAGGCCGCCGATGGGGGATGACCGCGCGGCGCCGGCGGCGGAAATCGATGTCACGCAGCCACCGGCCGGCCGCCACGGAACGCCGGGGAGCAGCGCCGGCAGACCAGATCAGACCAGACCCGCCAGGCCACGCCACAGAACGCCAGAGAGCGGTACGGGCAGACCAGACCCGCTGGTTACCATCACAGATACTGATCAAAGCGGTGCGTCGAGCTGGCTGGTGGCTTGGCCAATTTGGATTTACTTAAAATGACATCCCAGACTAGCTTAACAGATGTCATGATAAATTCCGACCAAGCGCTAGCACTGTTTTCAAGAATGAACATAGAAATATGTTTACACTGAAAGACGGTTAATTTGAAAGAGCTAGAAAATATCAGCGCAATAAGATTGTATACAACTCAAGACTCGACTGAACTGTAGAGTGCATAGAAATACTTATAAAAATAAGTCATTAGAATAATGAATAACTGACAGACGAAGCTGTGGCTGAAGGGAAGGACTGGTGGGCTGGGAACAGTGGCCGTGGCTCTGGGATGTGGAGAGAGGCAGCAAATGTAGCAAAAAGGACAGTTGTGATGGGCTGTGGCTGGCTCAGCGGCTGTGAAGCCGAAGACAGGAGCAGCGACGGTGGGATGAAAAAGGGGTAATAAGGTGGGGAAGACAGCAATTTGAAGACAGCTGCTGGAAGACAGCAGCTGTGAGACTGAGAACACTGTGTCAGCGGTGACAATTAGACCAGCGGCTTTGGACAAGCTGCGGGACAAGCGATGGTTCATAACAGCTTTCTAAGGTCGAAAGGTTGAACAGCCAGAGAGACCTAACCGAACATTGACCAAAGGCCGCGGTACTACGCATTATGGACTGAGTGTGTGACGCGACACTGACAGAGGAGAGCGTTCTATTCTGAGCGGGACCAAAGGCGGCACTTTGGACTGAACAGGTGCCGTGGAGACACTTTTAAGAGTCTCCTTTTCCAATATGGTGATCGTGGTCATTTATAGTTCATGGCTGCCATAGAGACAGACGGGGAACACTGAACGGGCGGCACCGTGAGCGGTGAATGGAAAATCGAGGAGGAGCGGCGAGAGATTGGCGGTGGGCGGAGTCGGGAGTGGGAGAGGGGGATGGTGGAAGAAAGAGAGAGAACAAGGCAATGGGGAAAGAGGGAAAGACTGACGGGGCAGAATATTGGATAGAGGGACAAAGAGAAAGGTAAAGATCCAGAAATACATAACGAAAGAAAAGGGAGGGAGGGAGGGAGGGAGGGAGGGGGGGGAGGGAAGAGAGGGAGAGAGAGAGAGAGAGAGAGAGAGAGAGAGAGAGAGAGAGAGAGAGAGAGAGAGAGAGAGAGAGAGATCATGCTAGCTGAAAATATCGGCTCGACGTCGAAAAAGCAGCCCGGTGATACCAGCAGTCGATAGTCTCTAAGAGCTCTCTGGCTGATCTGAGACGGCGGGGAGCCGCTAACGGAACATTCAGCTCCAATTTCCGAGGCCCGACCGAAGAAGGAGGGTAGAGGGAGGGAGGGAGGGAGGGAGGGAGGGAGGGAAGAAAGGAGGGAGAAAGGGAGGGAGGGGGAGGGAGGGAGGAAGGGGAAAGACAGCACAGGCTAACCATCTTTTCCGCATCGGGAGTGACGATGGCGAAAACTGGTCAGAGACGTCGATTGACTCTTCAATTGCAATGGGAAAAAATCAACTCGCTGCGGATAAAATAAGCGTTACCGGCTGAAGTAGACAAGATCACAAACTCGTCACCTTAGTAGGTACAATTTCCCCGAGTAATGTCTGCATAAGCTGTTAATCACAAACAATGTCCGTCCTCAGCAGGTGTCAAATACCGGCAGAGGAGCAGCTAAAGCAGTCCGTCTGACGTGCCCGCTGAGACGAAAACTAGCCAGCGAGTGCTGAGCCCGGACGGCAGAGTGGCACCATCAGGCACCCGGGGACGGTGCATCGGCAAGAGGGGGGGGGGGGGGGGGCGGTTATGGAGCAGGTCGGAGGTGCGTTAGGAACAGTGCACGTCAGTCACACTCTGTATCGATATTGCTACCCCGCTGTGTACTAACTACTTGGCCTTTGAGGAACTCAAAACGGGGGAGAAAACCAGACACGAGCACAAGTATAGAATCACACCGCAAGCCCAATCATCTTCCCACGAATGCAAACCCAGCGTCCAAAATCCACCACATCGCCCAGTCAAGTAGTTCTCATCACCTCACCACACTCAGCCTACAGACAACCCTTTCCCCGCCCGCCCCACGCAGCGCTACTTGAAGTACTTGAGACCGGCGACGACCATGAATTTCTCGATGAACAGTTCAGAGTCCAGGGCGGCGATGTGCGCCGCGCGGCCGATCAGTGAGTTGGCGTTATTGGCCAGCGCGTGGTGCACGTCGTACCGCAGCAGTGAGACGTCGGGACGCTCCACGATCGGCTGGATAATGCTCGTCACCATCTCCCGGTAGGCGGCGCCTGCGGACCGGGCACCAGTCAGGTCAGGTCAGGTCACTGGTCAGCGGCGCTGACAGTCAGACTGTCACAGAGAGGGACGGGTTCGGTCACCGGTCGGCACAACGGGCCGTCATAGAAAAGGCTATTCCGATTATTGGTCAGAAGCGTGCAACATAATAGGCCGTGCGTGAAACACGAAACGTGCCTGCATCAACAAATATGCAAACGCTTTAACTTCCTGATTATTCCGTCAAAGCGGATGTATTCATAAATTCGAGTGAGCATACACGGACGCATTCCTGCCCTGGGAATCTTGGCACATGTACTGAATACCAGGGGGCCGAACCTCTTCATAAATCTTACACTCTATGGTGTTGATATAAAGACCCGATGCAGGGGCGAGGCTTAACGACATTTTTATGTATCTTTGCTTAACATCTGGATGTTCAGGTTGATGGCAAATTGCATTATGCCAAATATCCATGAAATGTAAACATTTGTAGAATTCCGCTGGCTATCTTCGGGAAATATTCATCATTTGCGTACACGGCATTTCTCCTACAAACATTGATCGTTTGGAAAAACCAGGCAGGCGTACTTGAGCTACAAAAAGTTTATCGATCACATAGGCCTACTTCACTGCCCAAGCAGACCAATGGAATGCCACAAATGTCGCCCAAGGATAGGAAAACAGTCGTTGGTATTTTCTTGAGCGGAATGAAATGTTTACATCGGTAGGTCGGGCCTGGCATGGTTCTTGATTTGTAGCCATTCGGACCGTGTGAGGTCTATTTAGATACTCTTCATGACTCAAATCAGGCACCTGGGCTGGCCTCCTGCCCGGCTGCCGTAGCTCGCCGTTCAGACGCTGTACGGCTGTTCAGGGACGCGGCCACGACGGTACCCGGGGTCCATCAAACATTGAGCGGCAATGACCGTGATCACCTGCCCGTTTCCCAGCGTAAATGCCGCCGCCGATCTGGCTCCATCGGAGCCAGCCGGCCACCAATCATATACCTAATCACACGACAGTCAAACGGACGGCGCCTTCCCAGAACAGCCGTATCGCTAACGCATTGATAACCGAACCGAAACGACGCGACATTTTCCACAATCAATATTCCATTGTCCTCAAACAGGCTGCCCGCATTTCTGCTGGCACGAACACTTTCTCGAATAGCTCCTGTGCGATGGGGAACTGATGGGAATACGTACATCAAAGGAACCCAGCTACAGGACGGCATCATAGTCACAAAGTTAGCCAGTCAATAGCGGCTCACGCAAGTTGGAAATTGAATTGCACATCCGCCGGGTTTTCAGACGGTCGAGTGAGCCGAGCCAGCCGCTGCTGTGAGCTGTTGCGTCCTGAGCACACCGGCTGGCGGCTCGCACGGCCGACAAAGGCATCGGTCCGCCGGCCGACTGACCGGAGCCGCCGTATTGTACGGCCTCATTAACCCAGGCAATAATGGGCTCCCGCCGGCGGCGGTGGCCGCTCCCCGGAACAGGGTGGGCCGCGCCGCAGTCGATAGCCGGCCGGGCGGACACGGCACACCACTTCCGCCCCGACCTTGGCACAGAACGGGCCCCTCCGACCGGGCCGGCCAGTGGGCATTCAGTCGACCCCCGCTCTATTGAATGGTGCCCCTCCTAGCAGTTCTCAGACGGTATATAATTATATATAGACTTTGCAGCACTTGGCGGACCATTTCTTTATCTAGGTCAGGTTTGATTCACTTGAAGCATAGCCAGCAATCATTTATGCCGATACAATTCTCGAATGAAAATACGATTTCATCAAAACTGTTAAAACCAGCCAGCTCGACAAATCAATAAAATGTAACTGTGCTTATCTCTCACAAACGTAATGAAAAATACGCCCGCACTGTTAAATACACTCGCGTCCTTTGTGTACTAACTAGACACTGACCTTCACTGGGACCCATACGTAGCCCTTCCCTCAGTCCTGACGCTAGGGACATCGAGCGCACCGCCCGCATAGACCACCATATCCCAACAGTCGCCTTCCAACATCCGTACATCCAAAATGTACCCCGCGTGCTCCCAGCCACCCACCCGTGCCCTTCGCTCACCAGTGGCGGTGTGGTCACGGATGGCTGCCTTGCAGAGGTCGATACGAGAGCTGTGGATCGGCACATACTTGTCCTGAGAGCTGCCCGTGAGCAGAACGTGCCGGAACCGGTGCAGCTGGGAGCGCATCGCCAGCCGGTACAGGAACGTCTGCCGCACGTCCACAGCGTCCTTCATCGACAGCTGCAGCAGCGAGCCAGACTTCTTCAGCTTCTGCATGAACCACATGCCTGCCGGGACAGAGCCGCGCGCAGAGTTAGTGACGGGACGAGAGCGCACGTGCAAAGTTTGACAGAACGGAGCCGTACACAGAGTTACAAATGGACATCGATTTAAAAAGAAAATGCTCCAATAAAGCGATCGACAGAACGCCTTCTAATCAGTGACAATAAGGACGATCAATGGTCATAACCTGACTGACGTCAATCAGACAATGGTATTTCCGGAATGTTGCTGGCCCCTCATTAATAATGTCAAATACCAGCGGCATTGCATAATAAACCCCGGCCTCCTCCACATGCAAGCCGTGCATCAACATAATGAACGATGTAGCCGTCCACGGGCTAGCTAGATGTGTTATTCATTTCACGGCGGACAGTCTTGTCACAAGCGCTTCAGCCCGCCGCGACAATGAATGAATCTCGGAAATAGCGTGTCCATTTGGCTATTGCAGCCGTTAAATGCCGGTAAATCACCTGGCATCCGACGAGGACATGCCATTGTATAGCGCGAGCTCTCCATTACAGGGGCCATCAGCTACGCTGCAGACCGAGCGGCCGAGACACAGCGCGGGAGTGAGAGGCCCACGGCGCCCCTTCAGCAGAGTTATAACGGGCTGTTGGTCAGCCGACCGCCACCACTGCCTGCAGTCGACTCTCACTGGCCTAGCCAGGCAGAGTGGCGGCTGTGGCAGTGGCGGCAGCCGGCCCAGCACTCAATGTCCTTACAGACGGCTATATTTGGACAGGTAGGCACAGCGGCAATAATAGCTATGTTAAGTTTCAAACGACCTGCGGTTACCCTACATTTGGTCGTTTTCCATACATACCGCGATAGTAGGCCACGCTTCAATTCGCACTTCCGATACAACACGAAAAGAGCCAGCGACCATATCGTGAAAATTGAGAACGGGGCCAGCCGAAGACAATGAGTGACCGATCAAGTGGTCCGTCTGCAAAACATCCAGACAACCAGGCCTTTACATTAGTCAAACAGCTTAAACAGCCCGACAAAACATAAAGACCGAATGCATCCTCATTTGTCAAACAGCTTAAACAGGCCGGCAAAACATAGCGACCGAATGCATCCACGCAAAATTGTAATACCCGACAGGATCACTGCAATCCCTCATAGGGCTCAACAATAGATACAACCTACCACAATATGGCAGATACATCTATCAAAACCAGTTTTTGAGGCCGTTGAAATGCGAGAAAACTACGTCCAAAATGCATCATAAAAGACAGCACAATTAACTAAAAAAAAAAAAAAATCGTCCAAAAATATTCCATCCCACCGAGGGCGATTGGAATATGCCTGCATTAGAATAGCTGAATGCCTGACACGCGAACAGTTCAGCACAGGCGCCCAAAAATATCAATACCCGAGCTATTGAAGCGGTGAACTCATTGGCCGAGCTGGAGCACCTAGTGAAACGTCCACACGGTCACCGTGCAGCGCTGGTTGCGCTCATCAATCACTGCGTGCGGAGTCGATCGGCCGGCGCGGTTACCGCCGGCCGTCAGTGCCTAGCAGCGGCCGGCTGCAGGGACACGGCGGCGGCCGGCTGCAGCGACTCGGCGGCGGCCGGGCGCCGGTGACCTTCCACCGCCCTGGTGGCCGCCCGCGCCCGCCGACCGCGATCGAAGCCACGCCGAGGCCGCTATAGGACTCGGCCACATCATTATTTATGATTTGATGCACTAGCTTCAATTATCCCTGCTAAACAATGCAGACATTGCTCCTTAATAACTACTTTGGATGCGTTTTTTGAACGGAGGGAATCGCAGGATTGGACAGATGCGACAAAAATTAAACAAATGGCGCAGTTCTGGAGCAAATAGGAAATATTGCGAGAATGTCAAACTAATGACAGATCCCTTGGCATCTTGTAGTAGAGCACAAAAGTAGACACTCCAAAGCGTTCACTCCGCATCTTCGAAGGACCGGAGGGCGACAGAGAATGATCTCAGCAACGCATGTTTTTTTTTTTTTTGTATTCTGGACAGCTCAACTGTCGAACCCAGCTGAGCCCAGTCTGGTGCCGCCATTACTGCGAGCTAGAATCAGCGACCTGCGACTGCTCCCAATGACCTAAACCCGTCTCAAATTGATCCAACTAAACGAAACCAAACCTCTGCTCTTCTCTCTGCCGTTCATCTATTCAGCCACCGAACTTCTAATGCCTCTCAACCGAATCGCTCGAGGCCGGGACAGCTTTAATGATGAGCACAGACAGGCGATCGATAGCGTTCCGGCGCCGCCGGCTCCCAAATGAGTCGGAAATTGGCCATCGACGGCGTCACATCTGTGCGGCCGCTCCGACGGTCCGCCGGTCGGCCGAGGTCGTCCACAGGTCGGTGCGGACTCAGCCCACCTCCCAGTCGCCCAATTGGCCTGACTCAGCGCGCCGGATCCACGATAAATGGCTCACAATAGGCCACCGCGCCGCCCTCGGAATAACGACAGATCAAAGCAACAAACAGCGAATTTCTTCAAAGGAATGCTTCGCAGGAAAAATGAAAATGCCAGCTCCGTTACAGGGCGCTTCAAAAGAACAGTCTAACTTTGAATAATTCGCCAATATCATCGGATTACCGGAAATGCTTATGAGTTCCGAGGATACGATTACCCGAGGCAACGCCACGTCGAGTTCGTTTAGCGGATAATGCAGTGAAAATGCAACTCGTCGCTGATATAAAATGCATTAACTCTATAAAAATGCTCAGGCTGCAAACTGCGCCACATAATTGGAGAATTGAGAATGCGCAACACAGATATGCATTCTCCAGCAGAAAGCTGATCTTACAATCTCGGACTTAACCATCCCATAATCGCAGCTTTAGTCACACTCACAGCCGTCAATAATGCCGCAGCCGTCACAGCGTCACATGTCCCAGTTGCTGAGCACAATAAGTCCCACTACTACCAGCCCGAAGACGATTCGACGACTGAAAAAAAAACGCTTCTAGCCTGAACCCACGTATAGCGAGGCTGGTAACGCAAGTCCCGTACTACACCTACAGCTCCAACGAACAGTTCGGTGAAGACGGTAGAATCCATATTTTTCGAGCAATGCCTGGTAGGCGACATAATCTAAATTCATTCATTATATGTGCCACTGCCAGCAAAGCCGATTAATTTACTTACTTCAGCCAGTTGAAGATAACATGATAAATAGAGCCTGACAATCGCACACAGAAATTCATTGGCGTTTTCTTTCTTTAGCTCTTATTCTTTCTACGTATATCTATATCTATTCAGCATGCATCTCTTTCTCTCTCCCTCCCTCTCTGTCTCTCTGTCTCTCTGTCTCTCTGTCTCTCTGTCTCTCTGTCTCTCTGTCTCTCTGTCTCTCTGTCTCTCTGTCTCTCTGTCTCTCTGTCTCTCTGTCTCTCTGTCTCTCTGTCTCTCTGTCTCTCTGTCTCTCTGTCTCTCTGTCTCTCTGTCTCTCTGTCTCTCTGTCTCTCTGTCTCTCTGTCTCTCTGTCTCTCTCTCTCTCTCTCTCTCTCTCTCTCTCTCTCTCTCTCTCTCTCTCTCTGTCTGTCTCTCTCTCTGTCTCTCTCTCTGTCTCTCTCTCTGTCTCTCTCTCTGTCTCTCTCTCTGTCTCTCTCCCTGTCTCTCTCTCTGTCTCTCTCTCTGTCTCTCTCTCTCTGTCTCTCTCTCTGTCTCTCTCTCTGTCTCTCTCTCTCTGTCTCTCTCTCTGTCTCTCTCTCTGTCTCTCTCTCTGTCTCTCTCTCTGTCTCTCTCTCTGTCTCTCTCTCTGTCTCTCTCTCTGTCTCTCTCTCTCTCTCTCTCTGTCTCTCTCTCTCTGTCTCTCTCTCTGTCTCTCTCTCTCTGTCTCTCTCTCTGTCTCTCTCTCTGTCTCTCTCTGTCTCTCTCTCTCTCTGTCTCTCTCTCTGTCTCTCTCTCTGTCTCTCTCTGTCTCTCTCTGTCTCTCTCTGTCTCTCTCTGTCTCTCTCTGTCTCTCTCTCTCTCTCTCTCTCTCTCTCTCTCTCTCTCTCTCTCTCTCTCTCTCTCCCCCTCCCTCCCTCCCTCCCTCCCTCCCTCCCTCCCTCCCTCTCTCTTAACTTAATTCTTCTCCTCTTTCTTTTCTTTACAGCAAGGAATGCATACTAGAAAAATCTATCAATGTCCCTCTCTGTCGTCAGTTCCGTAAGCTGCACCGGAGCCCAGCCTAATCCACGCAGCCATTTCCATACAGACCGTTCATATATCGACCGGCGCCGCGCAGCCGCTGACAGCCATTGCTCACCAATCCGTCCGCGCCCGTGTTGACCCATTACAACTGTTTGCTGCCGCTCGGCGGCAAAACATGGGCCCACAGACGGGACGGTCACCGCTGTATGCGCGGTGTCGGGTCACGGGGTATTTATGGGCCCGGCCGCGGCCGCACAGTGGGCCATCGCCCATCATCCGTCGCTAAACGACAAATCATCAGCCGCTCCGCGACAAATCATCGCCCGAATCAATAAGCAGAGTGAACAGACACAGCGCCGCCCGGCCCTGGACTAGGTGGACAGAGGTTTACTGTTGGATCAAAGGGTAATATTGATACCAGCTGCAAGCTGCGTGCAGGTTCCCGTGCACGTTTGCTCTCGGTGCCGAGGGCGGTTTCGCTCGCTTGAGAGTGATGTGTGGACAGGCAACGGATAAGCCGCCGCCTAGTATCTCAGCGCCCGGCATACTCGTCCTCTCCAAAAGGACTCAGTCACTCAGCCCCCTCACTCACCCATGTTGACCAGCCCGCTGTTGTTGTACAGTGTGCCAAGGTGCGGCGCCGACAGGCTCAGGAAGGTGTGCAGCTTATCCAGGTGCGGCGCCAGCTGCGGACGCGTCAGCACGTTCCGGATGATGATGTTGCCCAGCGAGTGGCCCACGAAGCTGATGCGCTGCGGCGCCAGGTGGAAGGCCTCGATGTGGTAGGAGATCTCCTCGGCCAGCCGGTCCGTCAGCGTGTCAAAGTCGGAGAACGTGTCTCCCTGAGGGGACACGGAGCGGCGAGCACTCAGAGGAGCACGCGGGTCGCGGGATAACACGACGGTAAGACACCGGTAGAACCACACGGTGAGGGTAATGAGAAGGGCAAGGGAATGACGACCGGTCATTAAATGATGTAATATTTAATATACCTATCCACGCCGAATGACACTCCATTCGTTCATTTGCGTGCAATGCGACGAGCGGCAGTGTCGTCATAAGCGAATAATAACCAAACAAAAAAATAAATAAATAAATAAATAAATAAATAAATAAATAAATAAATAAATAAAATGAAAAACACGACGTGAACCACAGCCTTGTCGCTAGCCAGATTATGAGTGCAGCTACCGTCACACAATACAGCGATTACAAATGCCTGGAAGGCGCGTTACCACACCATTACAGGGGCTGAGGAGTTTCCGGCTCAAAGACGACGGGGATCATCAAAGGAGCAGCCCGCCGTCTGATGGCCAGATTATTTATACTCCGGGCAGAAGCCGCGGCCCACGCAGATAATACCCGCGCCCACGTCACATCCGCAATGGTCCATACTCAAAGGCACTTCGGCTCCCGGTCTCACAAATAGGCTGGCCGGGCATAATACCGGCGAGCGTTGTTCACCGAGAGTTAACGCGCGGCCGAATGCCGACAGTGACGTCAAGCGCGGCTTCTAGGCGCCTCCTGGGAATACGCCCGGCCCGCCCGACTCATCAGGAACTAACCAGATTACACCGGCTCAGAAACGTACATCCGAGCGGTGCCGGACATCTCAGAAATGAGTGCAAAATGGATAGACACAATTACTTTGTACGGAAGAACACAATCAGGCAGCATCAAATCGCCAGCAATGCATAAATATGTGGGCTACATCCAGTATGAATGTTCATACTCGCGCGGTTCCCTTTTACCGTTGTGTGTGTTGATGCATTTAATTTCCCTGACTTCACCTGTTAGTGGAGAATTTCTCTGTTGGTGATAATCACAAATAAACAAATAAACAAATCAACAAATGTGAACCTATCTTTGGACAACTTTTCGAGAGTTTCTCGTGCTACCTACTTGCAAAGAAATTTTCCTGAACATATTTAATGCTAAGAAAGTAGTGAACTACTCGGTATCAAGTATCAACACTTGCCAGCCTATTAGCCAACCTTCTTCAGAGATGGCCGGGAATTTGCCCTACAACACATTAACTCGAGCGGCGTGAGCGGCACCCGATATCATCCCTCGCTGCAGCCGTGCTCACAACAATTATCCTAGCGTCCCAGCCCGCTCCGCCGTCTCACCTGGTTCCGCTCGGACATAATGAACTCAAGGTTGGCGCCGGGCAGTCCGATCTCCAGGTAGGTCCGCACCAGTCGCAGGTCGGCCGCGTTCCCGTCCAGGCCGTGTACACACACGACCAGGTGCAGACCCGACGAGCTGAACAGCCGGTACTCGTCCGGGATAAGGAAGTACGGTAGAGACGTCACCACGCCCATGTAGTCACTGTCGGGGCGGCACGGTGCGACGGTTAGTTAAGAAATCTGAGTTCGTTCGCTCAAACCCGTTCTGTCATTCGTTCGTTCGTGCGTTTGCCTTATATCCAGTCAAGGAGGTTCAGGCTCCCGCTGGTGACATAATCGTACGGGCATCGCACACAGGCACAGTGGGATAAGGGCCAGTAATCCGGTGATCATAGCACCAAGCGAGGCGCTAAGCACTTAGTACCACTATCGCCTACAGAAGTGTTCGTAATTATTGCGTCTGCCCTCTGGGACATGCTAACTCTCTTGGGGTTTTTGGACAGTGAATTTCTCAGGCAACTACTTTTAGAGACACAAAGAGTGTACACACAAGACTACTTAACTCTGCACACTTCATTTTATTTACAGTTTCATTTCATTTCATTTCATTCTATACAAACATCATTTTATTTGCATAATTTCTATTGGTATATTCTCTTTACAGTCTCTTACGCAGTGAATTTATTTACAAATCACAAGGACAGTTGTCTGTCTGAAACACATATGGACGCTGAACGAGTTTTTAAAAAGATTGCTATTAGTGACTTGATCCGCCCGTTCAAACATGTGAGAGTTCCCGATTGAAAAGTTCAAAACACTCCTCCTAAGTGCCGGACAGAGAGAGCTTACTTTAAAACACAAGCGTTGAGCTGGAAGAGAAGTGCCTGTGTAATGTGTGCAGAACGGAGCGCGAACCGAGCGGTACTTCACCGCGAGTTTTACTTTACCAAAGTTATAAACTGCCAAGTTTCTCGTCACAAAAGCTTTGAAGCAGACTAATATGCCTGAAATAAGTGCCAGTAGTTTCAAACATAATTTAAATACAAACGACAACAAATTATCATCAGCGTCCGCCAGAAACCGCATGATGTCGAACATGATGCCCATCATCTGACATCAGTGATATTGCGAATTCAGCCTATTGCAGCTGTCTTTAAACAGATCGATTCTGTCCGCCCGAACTCAATGCTGACCGCCAGTCCCGGCGGACGGCCACTCACCTGTATAACACGCCGGGAAACCTGCCCTTGAGCTGGTCCTTGAACTGCTCCTTGGCCGTGATGAAGTGGAAGGTGCGCTCGCCGACGGCGGCCACCAGGCGCTGGCGGAGCGCTGCGTCGCCACCGTCGAGGGCAGAGTAGCAGTCGCAGGACACCTCTCGGCCGTCGCGGCCCTCTCGGGAGGTGCGCGGGTCACCGCGGCCAGCCGGCTGACCGGGCGGAGGTCGCGCCGGCCCGGCCACAGAGGATCGCCCCGCGCCGACTGGCGGCAGGCCGCTGGAAGGGAGCGGCGCTATGGTCACTGGCGGCGGTCGACCCCTGTCTCTCACTAGTCGCCGGTGGTCGAGGGTAGCCGGTGTCCCTGTCTCTCCGTCCCTGTCCTCACTAACCGTCCGTCCCGTACTCCCCCTGTCCCTCACTAATCACGGAGGGTCTAGGCTGGTCGTCACACCGCTCGTGATCTGAGGCTGTCCCCGTCCCCGTACCCCTCCCCTGACTAACCGCCGGAGGTCGAGACTGGTGGTCACACTGCTCGTCGTCTCCGGCTCGTCCTCGTCCTCCAGCCGCGTGCCGAAGCCGTCGCTGAACATCTCCAGCACGGTACAGGCCGACGGCGGCTGCTCAGAGCTCACCCGGTACCTGCGCCCGGTGCGGGGAACGACAGGGGACGCCACACGTTAGTTCCTGTACATACAACCACTGACGATTGGCAGCCAGTACAGGCATAATGAATAATCAGCAGTTTCGGGTGCATTTAAATATGAAATACATGCCACTGAATAATGACACTGAATCATTCACAGTTATATTGAATCATGGTTGAAAATCATTAAATTTGTGAAAATAGGGATTTAAAAAATCACCCTAAAAAGACACAGCTAACTAGCATACCCACAAGAACATCTTCAGACAAGGAACAAAAATAGGCCTAGTAGGATTTCGGTACCAAGCGCAGCGGCTGACCTGTCCTCTGCCTCCTGGACGCTGCGCCGCTTCTTCCTCGATTCTTTCCGGGCCATCAGACTGCCGATGGACTGCGCTCCGCTAAGCATGCGCAGACTGAGCCGCTTCTGCTTGCCGGCGCAGCTGGCGGTGTCTATATCAGAGAGGCTCCCGTAGACTGAATCTCCCTCGAACTCCCCGCTGGATCGGGCAGACTGAGAGCCGCCGCGGTTCGATTTGGGTCGGAACTGCAGGCTGGCGCTCTTGGAGAGCGACTCGGCGCCGGTGCTGCCGGCTGGCGGCGGGTCCCGGAACTGTCTGGGCGGAAGGACGGAGGCGGGCGGCCGGCCCAGTCGCGCCAGGCGCGCCTTGAGTCCAGTGCCGCGCGGCGGCCGGCCGGCGCCGTTGGTGAGCGGCGGCCGCGGCGGCGGGGCGCGGGAGGACGACTCGGAGCACGGCGCCGCCAGCGTGTCGGTGGCCTCCGACTCCGAGCCGCTCAGCGTCAGCGCCGTGTCCGTGGCGTCGGCGGCCGGCCGCGGGACGCTCTCCTCGGCCGGCGCCGTGTCGCCGTCGGCCGAGCTGCCGCTGGAGCTGGGCTCCGACAGCTGGGAGCTGACCGCCGCGTCCGTGTCGGTCGGCTCGGTCAGCTCGGCCGGGTCCGGCCCGCCGCCGGCTTCCGGTGTCCACCGTTTGGCCACGATCCGTCCGCGCTGCACCTGGAGCAGCGCCGAGCCGGCCGCGCCGAACAGGCCCACCTCCAGACTGGTGAGCGCCGGCGCCGCCAGATCCGGCAGCGAGCCGCGCGCCCGGCGCCGGCCGGCCGCCGCGCGCGTCGCCTCCGGGATGCTCAGACTGCTGTGTGAGTGCCGCAGTGAGGCGTCATCGGCGGCTGGCCGGGACGAGGCCCGCGCCGAGCCGGTGCTGCCGGCGCGCGGTCGGACCACCAGCGAGGTATCCGATTCACTGCAGACAGTCACTGACGACTCGGGCGACACGGCGCCGCCGGCCGGCCGCGGCTGCCGCTGGCCCACCGGCAGGCGCAGCTCCAGCCGTATGCTGTTCTTCAGTTTCTCCTTGAGGAAGTGTTTGGGCTCGGGCGAGGCCACGCCCACGGTGGCGGCCTCGTCCCCGGCCGGAGGCGGCGCGCGGCGCGGCGGCGGAGGCGGAGGCGGCGCCGCGCAGCCGCCCGTCACCGGCGGCCGCCTGGTGGGCTCGGAGGGCGGCCGCGGCGGCGAGCTGGTCGAGGTGGCCGCCTCCGCCGCCGGCCTGCGCGCCGCCCTGCCGTCGCCGGCCGGACGGTCGCCTTTGCGCGCCTCGTCCACTCTGGGCAGCGGCGGCGGCGGCGTCCCCGGCTCGTCGAGCGTCAGTCCGTTCAGACTGACGAATCGAGCGGCGTCGGCTACGGCCGGGCTGGCGGCGCCCGTCGGCGGCACCCTCTGCAGCACCTCGATCGACTGGCCGCGCTGCGATGAGCGCGGCTCGGCGGCCGGCAGCGTGGAGGCCGTGCGCAGCTCCTCCACCAGGGCAGCGGTGATGGCGCGCGGGTCGTTCGCAACTGGCGGCACAAGGAAATAAAACAATTCAACACAGGTAGCAGAGGAGAGACAGCCAATTCAGACTGACGACACCAAAATATCACGGCTGATCCCACAATCAAAGGAGCAATGCATTGAAAAAAGTGCAATGATATCCTACTAGAATGGTGAAATTCGTTCCACTCTTTCCCGCGTCATTTTTTTTCCTGTCCTTAAATGCACTCCCACACACCCCATCATTCTACCCATTCCGCAGCCGGAGCTGTGACGACGCGGGAGCGTGGAACATCCCCCCACTGCCCCTCCCCCACTGCCCACCTTGTGTGGTGCGGCCGACCTGCCTGCGACGGCGCACAAACTCGGACACGTGCTGGTACTGGTCCTCGTAGATGACCGGCGTGCTGGCCGGGTCGCCGTCCAGCTCGGCGCACTCGACAGGCAGGGGTGGCAGGCTCTGTGGACCCACGCAGAACACTGTCAGACATAGGGAGACAAGGAGATCCAAGGAGGCAGGGTTACAAGGGATAGCATACTACAAGGGAGACAAAATAGATGGAGGGAATCGACTACAAGGGCACAACTCACTTTTGGAGTACCCGACCAATCTGCAGGCTGCAAGTACTGAATACCAACTGATATGCAGGCATGAGCTACATACCTACTGAGTCGCTGACTGACCTGTAAGTAGGGGGACCGTCGCACAGCCTCCGTCACTGCCATGTACCGCTGCGGAGCGTTGTCGAAACACCCGGTGGCTGCCGACCGCGGGTTGTCCATGGTGAAAAACGCCTCAGCGAACCGCTTCACCTGTCGGAGGCGGAGAGGACAATCAACTGTCCGGCAGGGCACTCAGCTGTCCGTCAGGACACTCAACTGGCGGCGGGGACACTCAATTCCCGTCAAATTCCGCGCGCGCCACCTACCCTGAGCGTGTGGTGCTGGCGCGCCGGTGAGCGGCGCACCTGCTCGGTACGTCAGTATCCGTCAGTATGTCAGTACGCCACCTACCCTGAGCGTGTGGTGCTGTCGCGCCAGTGAGCGGCGCACCTGCTCGCGCCGACAGGCCAGCTCCATGAACTGCTGCCAGAGGAGGATCAGCTCGGCACACAGCTGGGCGATGTCGCTGTTGGCCACGGCCATCAGGTCCTCCTCGCCGCCGGCCGACTGCGGGAGACGTCAGACACGAGTCAGGGAGCGGCGGGAAGGAGAGGCACCGCCGGACCCGGCGGCACTGAGCGACTTAGCGGTATCATCACAGGGTAAATAGGTTCATACAGGAATATTTGTTAGCGACATCGCGTTTTTTAATGTCGTTGCCAAGACGAGAAGCAGCCCGGACAATAAGAAAGGTGAAATTTGGTAGACCACCCGTCCAAACGGGCAACCAAATATAGTCTCTAAAGCGGGCGAAATACTTGAAGTTGAGATGCAAAGTGTCTTCAAATAAGCAGAAGAATGAAGACCCTTCTCAATTATTGAAAGTATATATGTATATGCATTGACCACGAACGTACCAGTGACAAGACTACCAAAGAAACCAGTAAATGGAATAGTTGAAAAGTGAGATTAAAAATGGGTCATGTTTCTTTCAGCAAAATCAGCTACGCTGTACAGTGCATAACGCACACACATTCAAAACCAAATAGTGAGCGTTTCTTCAAACTGCAGGCATTGTACAAAGGTACAGTGCACAATTGTAAACAAAATCATACAACGCTGAAAAAGTCAGTCACGTAAATAATAATAAAATGTAAATCAGGGAGGATAAAATAATCAATCAAGAAAATGCACTGCGCTCGCTCGAGCAATCTCACTAAGCTGTCTGATACCGAGCTAAAAATGAGCACAGTGCACGAGACGTGAGTCCATGCGGAGAGGCGTGCCCTGCAGCTCGGGTCGCCGGCGCCGCAGCGGGCCTCCAGCAGCTGAAGCGAGCCGGGCAGATCCGTGCAGCTGCGACCAACTTCAGCAGGGTGGACGTGAGAGACGAATGAAAACCGAACAAACCAAAACTGACGGCCCCGTCTACAGCGATACAGGATGTCCCGGGTGCGAGCGAAAGCGGCTACCAGCTCCCGCTCTGTTGTCTGAGCGTAGCGGGGCAGCGCAGGCGGAACGGAGCGAGTCCGGAGTCGTGACGGATGCTCTCGACTCTGGCATAACACGCGCGGACCACGGACACACAGACAGACAGACATACACAGAGTACAGGGACAGGTGGAGAGTTACCCTGGATCGGCGCCCGTCGCCGCGGCCGCGGCTGCCCGCCGAGCACTGCCTCCCGCGGCCGAACATACGGTGGCAGCAGTCCTACCGACACACGCACACACGGACCCCGCACACACTCAGAGGGGCGCCGGGACACCGGTACACGGCCCGAGCGGCCGGCCGGACACCCCCGTACCGCCACATCACACCAGCGTCAGCCAGCCAGCACCGGAACGGAACAAACGGAAACCGCCAGGTACACGACTAGAACTGAAATCGCCAGGTAAATGAATAGAACTGAAACAATACTGGAAATCCGTTGAGTTGAGAAAAAATCTGTTTCCACCTAAAAAAAAAAGCGCAACGGCTGGTATGCACCATGGGAAAAAGGATTGTTGGCTCCTGATAGTGACAGAGAAGATCAATATTGTCAGCGAAATGCTATACGGTATATACTGTGCAGTTAATGTGTATGCCGCTTTCATAAAGAATTATAAAAAAAATAATAAGAAGAAACAGGGCCAAAAATAACCAGTGTATAATTGAGTAGGGGAGAGTGGGGCAAAGCGGCCACCCGGGGCAAAGCGGCCACCCATCGTTTTAGCCCTTCATAACTGGCGTCAGTTCCAATTTATGGTTTCCAATGATACTTCTCTTCGCGGTCGTTCGAATGAGCCAGACCGGGGTTTTAGGCCCATCACCATTGTTCTGTGAAACACGGAAAAGCATTTCTTGCCAGGTTACCAACTATGTTTACAATTTTTAAATGTTATGTTTTTCCATAACCGTTTGGGATTTTTATAAGCGTTCTTGTCCATGCATTGCATGGTTATCGTACATGTATTCTACCAATTTTAATGTTTTTTACCCCACTAATAGCTAAGCTGGAATATTTTTGTATCGGATGGTATGCGCGGGGCAAAGTGGCCGGGGCAAAGTGGCCACCCCCCAATTGGTCATAAGTTGTTTCCATCTGGATAAAAAACATTATTTATATTCAAATGTGTCGTCATGCATTCATCTTTGCCACTTTTCAGTTGTATGAGTTACCAAATAATGCAATTAAATGTATTTTTTCATAAAAATCATTTCTTTGTTTACCTACAGGTGGAAGATGATAAAGTAAACATCCATCCTCGCTTAACCTTGTCACCATCAAATACCCTAGTCGTACACAAGGCAACTATTTTGTTTCTCATATCGGGACTTGAGAAGACGCCGGTGGCCGCTTTGCCCCAGGGTATGGGGCAAAGTGGCCAATATGCATAGGTTTAAAGTTTTGTCAATATCTTTCATATGTGAAACCCTTTGGAAATAAAACGCAGTTGAAATAAAAGGCAACTTAATAGGGATCACATTGGTATAGAAAGAATCTTTCCAAGTTTAAAAATCAAGCGTTGGCATCGTGAGAAGCGTTAGGGTGGCCGCTTTGCCCCACTCTCCCCTATTCCACAAAAAAAGTCTGCTGTATAACGAACAACACATGATGATGATAATCGCAGACCGCCCCGCCACCTACCCTCTTCCAGAACAGCATCATTAAAGAGCATACCTTGCACAACAATCTCTGTTGAAGAACATAGCCAGACACAAAAAAAGATGAAAAAGTCCCAGAGATCGTACCAAAACCGAAAACTCGTTCATGCAACTCACTTTCCATCAGAAACATCGAAAAGCTCTTGACTTGCTTCAGTGCATAGCGGCACACCAGCCCTCTCCTATACCACAGTAGAATAGGAGGTATGTCGAGAAATGTCGAGAAAGGCTCCTGGGCCTCGTTTCATAAAGAGAGTCCGTAACTTACGGCGGTTTTTGGTCTTGTATTGCAAGCGCATGTGAAGCGATGACGATAGTTTGAATCGTTGAATTTATTTATCTTGCAAGCAAGAACAGAAGGGAGAAGGGGAACTAAATTTATCGCTTCACATGCGCTTGCAATACAAGCCCAAAAAACGGCGTAAGTTACGGACTCGCTTTATGAAACGAGACCCTGGAGCCTTTCTCGACATCACAGCGTCCACTCTGTGACGCTGTGATGTCCGCACTAAGAGCGCTGCCTGCCCCTGACGGACCACCACCACATTGTGTTCCCTGTTCCAATTGCCGCCCCCCCCCCGCGCGCTCCCCGCGCCGTCCGTCTCACCTTGGCCGTCTCTGAGAGTTTGTCGAGCCGGTGTCGGCAGTCGGTGGCGGCCGTGGGCAGCCGCTGCCAGGCCGGCATCAGCCGGTTCACCACGGCCAACTGACTCTGCAGTGACTCGTAGCTGGCCAACAGCAGGGAGCACACGGAACGGTGCACCGAACGGGCGTGAGAGAGCCGCGAACTGGGCGAGCAGCCCGCCTGCGCGCACAGACACACCTCAGTGATGGAGTACAAATAAACACACATCCACAGGCGACGGCGCAACCGCAGCGACTGTGCAGAGAAACGACCACAAACAGCGGCACCTCCGGGAGTCTGTCTGTCCGCGTCTGTCTGTCCGTCTGTCCGTCTGTCCGTCTGTCCGTCTGTCCGTCTGTCCGTCTGTCCGTCTGTCCGTCTGTCCGTCTGTCCGTCTGTCCGTCTGTCCGTCTGTCCGTCTGTCCGTCTGTCCGTCTGTCCGTCTGTCCGTCTGTCCGTCTGTCCGTCTGTCCGTCTGTCCGTCTGTCCGTCTGTCCGTCTGTCCGTCTGTCCGTCTGTCCGTCTGTCCGTCTGTCCGTCTGTCCGTCTGTCCGTCTGTCCGTCTGTCCGTCTGTCCGTCTGTCCGTCTGTCCGTCTGTCCGTCTGTCCGTCTGTCCGTCTGTCCGTCTGTCCGTCTGTCCGTCTGTCCGTCTGTCCGTCTGTCCGTCTGTCCGTCTGTCCGTCTGTCCGTCTGTCCGTCTGTCCGTCTGTCCGTCTGTCCGTCTGTCCGTCTGTCCGTCTGTCCGTCTGTCCGTCTGTCCGTCTGTCCGTCTGTCCGTCTGTCCGTCTGTCCGTCTGTCCGTCTGTCCGTCTGTCCGTCTGTCCGTCTGTCCGTCTGTCCGTCTGTCCGTCTGTCCGTCTGTCCGTCTGTCCGTCTGTCCGTCCGTCCGTCCGTCCGTCCGTCCGTCCGTCCGTCCGTCCGTCCGTCCGTCCGTCCGTCCGTCCGTCCGTCCGTCCGTCCGTCCGTCCGTCCGTCCGTCCGTCCGTCCGTCCGTCCGTCCGTCCGTCCGTCCGTCCGTCCGTCCGTCCGTCCGTCCGTCCGTCCGTCCGTCCGTCCGTCCGTCCGTCCGTCCGTCCGTCCGTCCGTCCGTCCGTCCGTCCGTCTGTCTGTCTGTCTGTCTGTCTGTCTGTCTGTCTGTCTGTCTGTCTGTCTGTCTGTCTGTCTGTCCGTCTGTCTGTCTGTCTGTCTGTCTGTCTGTCTGTCTGTCTGTCTGTCTGTCTGTCTGTCTGTCTGTGTCTGTCGGTCTATCCCGCTGTTTCCCTGGCAGCCGCCGCTGTTACCTGCGGCCCGAAGATGACCGTCTCCATGGTAGAGAAGGCTGGCTGGCCGCGGGGTCCCGACGCCTTCGGTGACGAGTACCATGGCTTGGGTCGCGGGGTGCTGCACGCAGGGTCAGAGGTCAGGTCGTCCCCACTGACTTAGGTCAGGCCACTCGCCTATCGAGCCCCGCACCACGTCGACCAGGTGTTTTGACACACCCGTGTGAGCAGCACTGACAAGGCTACAATAAGTTCGCAAAGACCCATAAATAGTAAATACTGACGTAGTTTCAAAATAACATGCACTAGGGAACTCTGCGGATCATATCATCACAACAATTATAATCTCCTATGAACACGGTTAAGATACCAGACATGGGTAGTAGATCTTTATCATAATTGAGCGCCTTATTTGCTGATAGGCAGCACTATTAGTAAAGTAGTCCTGGGCCGCAGACTGCCCCACTCACCAGCTGGGCGTTAGGCCGTTGTTGGGCCTCCTGACAGACGCGAGCGGCGGGCACAGACAGAGAACACAAACATTATACGCGCCAATACATACACCACACACATCAAACAGGATGTCATCCCATTGCTGAACATTGCTAACTATACCTCACTCACTCCTTATCGGAAAGCTGGTAAATACTTGTATAGCAGTCATATTGCATATGGTGCTTTATATGACACGACCCGTCCCTATTACCACGACTGTCTTAAACATGTCTATGGCTGGCAACCAGGCCAAATCAAACATTCTTTCTCCAAAACAGCACCGAATATCCGCTTTATCTACTAATACTATCAGCGTTCGCTGGTCGTATCGATATACACACAGCCTTCACATGAAAATACATCGTCCATCCGCCCTACTGGACCCCCACCATCGATAGGTGCACGATGGGGACTATATAATACATAACTCACCGTCCGTCCACCCACTCGGAACCCCCGCTATCGGTGGGTACTCATTCGATGGCGACTATAAACATTACACAATTTATCGTCCGCCCACCCGGCCGGAGCCCGCCCTGCCCTCGGTAGGTACTCACTCGATGTACGGCTGGTGGACGGCCACCAGTGCCCTGCCCTCGGTAGGTACTCACTCGATGTACGGCTGGTGGACGGCCACCAGTGCCCTGCCCTCGGTAGGTACCTACTCACTCGATGTACGGCTGGTGGACGGCCACCAGTGCCCTGCCCTCGGTAGGTACTCACTCGATGTACGGCTGGTGGACGGCCACCAGTGCCCTGCCCTCGGTAGGTACTCACTCGATGTACGGCTGGTGGACGGCCACCAGTGCCCTGCCCTCGGTACCTACTCACTCGATATACGGCTGGTGGACGGCCACCAGTGCCCTGCCCTCGGTAGGTACCTACTCACTCGATGTACGGCTGGTGGACGGCCACCAGTGCCCTGCCCTCGGTAGGTACTCACTCGATGTACGGCTGGTGGACGGCCACCAGTGCCCTGCCCTCGGTAGGTACTCACTCGATGTACGGCTGGTGGACGGCCACCAGTGCCCTGCCCTCGGTAGGTACTCACTCGATGTACGGCTGGTGGACGGCCACCAGTGCCCTGCCCTCGGTACCTACTCACTCGATATACGGCTGGTGGACGGCCACCAGTGCCCTGCCCTCGGTAGGTACTCACTCAATGTACGGCTGGTGGACGGCCACCAGTGCCCTGCCCTCGGTAGGTACTCACTCGATGTACGGCTGGTGGACGGCCACCAGTGCCCTGCCCTCGGTAGGTACTCACTCAATGTACGGCTGGTGGACGGCCACCAGTGCCCTGCCCTCGGTAGGTACTCACTCGATGTACGGCTGGTGGACGGCCACCAGTGCCCTGCCCTCGGTAGGTACTCACTCGATGTACGGCTGGTGGACGGCCACCAGTGCCCTGCCATCGGTAGGTACTCACTCGATGTACGGCTGGTGGACGGCCACCAGTGCCCTGCCATCGGTAGGTACTCACTCGATGTACGGCTGGTGGACGGCCACCAGTGCCCTGCCCTCGGTAGGTACTCACTCGATGTACGGCTGGTGGACGGCCACCAGTGCCCTGCCATCGGTAGGTACTCACTCGATGTACGGCTGGTGGACGGCCACCAGTGCCCTGCCCTCGGTAGGTACTCACTCGATGTACGGCTGGTGGACGGCCACCAGTGCCCTGCCCTCGGTAGGTACTCACTCGATGTACGGCTGGTGGACGGCCACCAGTGCCCTGCCCTCGGTAGGTACTCACTCGATGTACGGCTGGTGGACGGCCACCAGTGCCCTGCCATCGGTAGGTACTCACTCGATGTACGGCTGGTGGACGGCCACCAGTGCCCTGCCCTCGGTAGGTACTCACTCGATGTACGGCTGGTGGACGGCCACCAGTGCCCTGCCATCGGTAGGTACCTACTCACTCGATGTACGGCTGGTGGACGGCCACCAGTACCCTGCCCTCGGTAGGCACTCACTCGATATACCGCTGGTGGACGGCCACCAGTGCCCTGCCCTCGGTAGGTACTCACTCGATGTACGGCTGGTGGACGGCCACCAGTGCCCTGCCATCGGTAGGTACTCACTCGATGTACGGCTGGTGGACGGCCACCAGTGCCCTGCCCTCGGTAGGTACTCACTCGATGTACGGCTGGTGGACGGCCACCAGTGCCCTGCCCTCGGTAGGTACCTACTCACTCGATGTACGGCTGGTGGACGGCCACCAGTGCCCTGCCATCGGTAGGTACTCACTCGATATACGGCTGGTGGACGGCCACCAGTGCCCTGCCATCGGTAGGTACTCACTCGATGTACGGCTGGTGGACGGCCACCAGTGCCCTGCCCTCGGTAGGTACTCACTCGATGTACGGCTGGTGGACGGCCACCAGTGCCCTGCCATCGGTAGGTACTCACTCGATGTACGGCTGGTGGACGGCCACCAGTGCCCTGCCCTCGGTAGGTACTCACTCGATGTACGGCTGGTGGACGGCCACCAGTGCCCTGCCCTCGGTAGGTACTCACTCGATGTACGGCTGGTGGACGGCCACCAGTGCCCTGCCCTCGGTAGGTACTCACTCGATGTACGGCTGGTGGACGGCCACCAGTGCCCTGCCATCGGTAGGTACTCACTCGATGTACGGCTGGTGGACGGCCACCAGTGCCCTGCCCTCGGTAGGTACTCACTCGATATACGGCTGGTGGACGGCCACCAGTGCCCTGCCCTCGGTAGGTACTCACTCGATGTACGGCTGGTGGACGGCCACCAGTGCCCTGCCCTCGGTAGGTACTCACTCGATGTACGGCTGGTGGACGGCCACCAGTGCCCTGCCCTCGGTAGGTACTCACTCGATGTACGGCTGGTGGACGGCCACCAGTGCCCTGCCCTCGGTAGGTACTCACTCGATGTACGGCTGGTGGACGGCCACCAGTGCCCTGCCATCGGTAGGTACTCACTCGATGTACGGCTGGTGGACGGCCACCAGTGCCCTGCCCTCGGTAGGTACTCACTCGATGTACGGCTGGTGGACGGCCACCAGTGCCCTGCCCTCGGTAGGTACTCACTCGATGTACGGCTGGTGGACGGCCACCAGTGCCCTGCCCTCGGTAGGTACTCACTCGATGTACGGCTGGTGGACGGCCACCAGTGCCCTGCCCTCGGTAGGTACTCACTCGATGTACGGCTGGTGGACGGCCACCAGTGCCCTGCCCTCGGTAGGTACTCACTCGATGTACGGCTGGTGGACGGCCACCAGTGCCCTGCCCTCGGTAGGTACTCACTCGATGTACGGCTGGTGGACGGCCACCAGTGCCCTGCCCTCGGTAGGTACTCACTCGATGTACGGCTGGTGGACGGCCACCAGTGCCCTGCCATCGGTAGGTACTCACTCGATGTACGGCTGGTGGACGGCCACCAGTGCCCTGCCCTCGGTACCTACTCACTCGATGTACGGCTGGTGGACGGCCACCAGTGCCCTGCCATCGGTAGGTACCTACTCACTCGATGTACGGCTGGTGGACGGCCACCAGTACCCTGCCCTCGGTAGGCACTCACTCGATATACGGCTGGTGGACGGCCACCAGTGCCCTGCCATCGGTAGGTACTCACTCAATGTACGGCTGGTGGACGGCCACCAGTGCCCTGCCATCGGTAGGTACTCACTCGATATACGGCTGGTGGACGGCCACCAGTGCCCTGCCCTCGGTAGGTACTCACTCAATATACGGCTGGTGGACGGCCACCAGTGCCCTGCCCTCGGTAGGTACTCACTCAATGTACGGCTGGTGGACGGCCACCAGTGACCTGCTATCGGTAGGTACCAGGGTTGTGCTCGACTCAAAAAAATTTGCCGACTCGACTCAGCATTCAACTTCAGAAAGCCCTGACTCAACTCTGACTCAAACAAGGAGCTGATTTTTTTCCCTTGACTCGACTCATGACTCAAGCGGCTCAATGAAAATATGAGTTGACTCAAACTTGACTCATATAAAAAAGCTGTTGAGCGGGGGGGGGGGGGGTGAAAAAAATTCGGCAGCAAGGCCAGGCCTAAGCTGTTAAGCGAGGGGAGAATGAAAAGCTTATATATTTATGTTTCTAGAAAGGTGAGTCAGCTGACTCATGTTCCTAAATGTTTTTGACTCAACTCAATGTCAAAAGTTATTTTACTGACTCAACTCTGACTCAACTCAACACCTTAATATTTTTGTCCGACTCAACTCTGACTCAACTCAACAGCTCAACATTTTATCCGACTCGACTCAACCCTGACTCATTTGAGTCAGAGTTGAGTCAAATTTCTGACTCGACTCATGAGTCAAGCACAACCCTGGTAGGTACTCACTCAATGTACGGCTGGTGGACGGCCACCAGTGCCCTGCCCTCGGTAGGTACTCACTCGATGTACGGCTGGTGGACGGCCACCAGTGCCCTGCCATCGGTAGGTACTCACTCGATATACGGCTGGTGGACGGCCACCAGTGCCCTGCCATCGGTAGGTACTCACTCGATATACGGCTGGTGGACGGCCACCAGTGCCGCGTGAAACGTCAGGGAGACGGCCGCCAGGTGGAAATAGTCGAACAGTACCGGCAGGTGGTAGTGCAGGCCCCTGGAATCAGAAGACGCAGGTGTCACCGCAACATCAGACGAACGTCCTGAGGATAAGTCGAACAGCAACGATTGTAGTACAGACCCTGCGCGACAAAATGTAGCGACTTTTTATAGACACTTGTCCGAATGGATGAATCAGGATGTCTACTGTCTATGGGCCCGGGTACCCCTCTAACGCACTTGTCCTTGCTTTCCGAGCCATGCACATGCTCTTTGTAAGCACAAGGTCCAACACAACCTCTTTTGTTTTAAGCTCCAAATAAAATCCGATTTGACTAGAACACGTGCCGATGCGGGGCTGTTGTGGTGCGTGCACTGTGCAGTGTACTCTGCCTCCATCTTCATCCACATCTGTATCGGACCTGTGGCCAGCGCAATCCGGAACGAGCCGACAGTGCACTGCCCAGTGAAATGGTGGTAGGTAATACTATATATTACCTACTATACTATATATACTATATATTACTACAATATATACTATATATTACTACAATATATACTATACATTACTACAATATATACTATATATTACTATATATGAGCTATATACTAGACGAAGAGGACCAGCCGGGACCAGCCGCCGTTGCCGGGAGCATGGAGGTTGCCGTCCATAAACAAGCTCGCGGTAGCATGAGGGCATTTGGTCCGCTGCAGCCCGCGCTGCGGAATGTCCGCGCTCAAGGTCGGTGTTTACGTTCACAGAGAGGCCTGCTGGTGGAGCCGTCAGTTGTTGGCCAGGGTCGCCTCAGTCGGGCCGAGTGCAGTGGGCAGAACACCACCTACCAGCGGTCGGTGAAGCGACCATGCAGTGGCCAGACATCAGCGATCGTCGAACAGGGCACAAGCGACCAGTGGTCGGAGGACGAGCGACCAGTGGCCGGAGGACGAGTGACCAGTGGTGAGAGCATCAGTGACCAGTGGTCAGAGCACCAGTGACCAGTAATCGGTGAAGCGGCCGACGGTCGGTGAAGCGGCCGGCGATGTCAGGAGACGGGCCGGCCGTCGGTGCGGCCGGCCCGCTGAGGGACCGGCATGTGGCCAACATGCTGCGAGCCTGTGGCCAGCACATCGGACTGGTGGTCGACCATATCGCAGAAAACGTCTTCGCCAACGATAAACAGTACACGTTCATGAAATGCCAAATGGAGGAACAGACTGAAAGCATTCAGTACTTTTGTCGTCGTCCACTGTTGCACGAACTCCAGAAGCGCTACACCCAGTGTGACTGTTCTCCATTCGGGCGACTGCTGGTGACGAGTGTGGCCACATCGGGCAGTTCTGCCGAAAGGCTCTACCAGCCACCGCGACCGCCGGTACATCAGACGCCCTCCGACGCAGATAGGATGATCGAGCTGGGCCCGGTGCAGTGGGCGTTCCCTGCCGACACAGCGGACAGCCCGGCGCACGGCGGAGACTGGCCCGGCACCGGCCCGGCACCGCGGCTGCACATCACCGACACAGAGAACCCCGGCTTCGTGCTGCTGCTGCAGGAGAAACGTGCCAGCTGTCGGCACTCGGAGCGGTTGGCCTTCCGGGCGGAGCACGTTACCCAGCTGCTGACCGACTACCTGCGATTGACCGCTGGTGAAGCGGTCACACGGCGCGCTATAAACGGCCCGGCCTGTTCCTACTCAACCGCTTCAGACACGGCGTTCCAAGTGACTGAGTACGACGACGTGCCGTGCCTGCGGATTCCCGTGTGGTGGTTCTCTGATGAGTTTTTCACGCGACAAAGGCGTTACGGCTGGCCGCCGCAGGCCGTGCTGGATGACATCCGCCAGTTCGGTCTGCACCTGGTGCCGGTGGGTGCTCCCGGGAGTCGCTCGCAGCAGATCGAGTGGCGGCTGTCCTTCTCTCGAGCAGAGCTGGTCGTCGTCTCTGTTATGACGGACATCCAGAGGTTCGTCGTCATAGCATTCAAGGTGTGCAAAGCAGCACTAGGAACGGATGCCAAGGTAATCAAGTCGTACTACGCGAAAACGGCAGCGATGTGGTTATATGAACAGACGCCAGCACATGAGTGGACGAGTGTCACGAGCGGCTTGCGGAGACTGCTGGACTTCCTCGATGAGGCTGTCAGCGAATGCAGCATGCCGTGCTTCTTCTGGAGCCGCATCAACCTCCTGCGGTCCGTCAGTCGCGCCGACAGGAAAGCGATGAAAAGGTCACTGACAACCATCCGCAAACACATGATGAGCTTTTTGACTCAGGATTTCTGTGTATGTGATACGTATCTACATAGGAAAATGACAGAGAGGACCGGGCAAACAACGGAACACCAGGTGCGGCTACACCTAGCCCGCTGGCAAATACTGGTCAAATTACGAGACGGAATAAGAATGCACATATCACTTACCACTGCGAAAGGTCTCAACAGCCTGCTGCCAGTGCTCCTGAGAACTTACACGCCGGACGAAATAAGCGGCCTGTTGGGCAGATTCAAGCACTGGCGCATTGTGCACAATGGCCTGTACCGGGCTCTGAGCGTTGCCCCAGCGGAGGTGGCCGCGCAGGTGCGGCTCTCATTCAGCCCTGACGGTGGCCTCATGTGGGACGCGGCCCCACTGTTGGCCCTCCTCAGCGCAGAGGACATGCGCAGCCTGCTGGGGGACCCGGATGCAGTGCGGCTCTGGCTGCGACGACAGAGCCGGAGGCCGGCAGCCGAGCGGCCTCCTGGCCTTCCAACCGACCTGAGCTCGCCGCGCGACCGCTGCCGCCTGCTGCTCAACATCCCGCAGCTCTGCTGGGTTCTCAGCGAGAGCGTCCGCTGGAGGTGGGATGCATACCAGCGACACGCTGAGCAGCTACCTATGGCTCTGACTAGTTATGAAGCTCCGGCGGAGGTGGCAAGGCAGTCTGTACTGCGGTGTCTGCTGCAGGTGGAGCTCGGGACGCTGGAGGAAGGCCTCCGCACCGAGCTCCGCATGGACCGCTCGACGGCCGCGTCAACGGCCCACAGGGTCCGCGACGCGATGCAGCAGATGTACAGCGACCCCCAGACGATCTTCAGCTACATGAGAAGCCTGCCGGACTCCTGGCGGTTGCGGCACTTGCTGGCCACCTGACTGCTGACGCTGCAGTCGCCCACCAGCGTTCAGAATGATAGGGAGGAACTGTGCAAGCCGCAAATCCACATGAAGCGTCACGTCACGTCGCATGTGGCACTGTATGGGCTCGGTCCACGCCGGGTTAGCTATGTGTGTGGCTGTTTCGCCATTACAGCCGCCAGCCATGTCGTCATAGCGATATATCAGCTGATACCCGATACTTTTGTCATCGGGAAACTGGATGAGAAAAAGGCCTGGGGGAGCTGGTATAACTATACCGAATTGCCAGCGACTAGCGAGGTGATACCGTGCCATACAGCTTCGCTCGAGATGGGATTTGGTGTTCATGTGCGATGCACGCAAAGGGAAGTTGAACAGCAACATTTACATACGCAATGTCATATAAACATGCTGTGATGGATTGTCAATGAATGAATGAATACACTTGCTAGAAAGAATCGCAGTTGTAGGCACCTACTCATTATGCCATGTTTCCATTGCTGCACGACACTCACCCCATCACATTCATTCATTCACCTCTCAGTTTCTCTCAAAGCGCTCGCCTGTCTCACCTGAGCGGCGAGAAGTGCAGTTTCAGCGTGCGGCTGGAGACGAGCTGCATGGCCGTCGTGCTCGTCTGCGGGCTGGTGTCGCTGCTCTCGGAGAAGTGCAGCTCCACCAGCAGCTGCAGGCCGGCCCGCTCCAGGCTCTCCACCAGCTGGCGGACACACAGCCACCGTCAGCTGGTACCGGCGCCGGCAGCGGGCGGCACGGCGGGTCAGCGCCGGCAGCGGGCGGCACGGCGGGTCAGCGCCGGCACGACAGGCGGCACGGCGGGGCAGCGCCGGCACCGGACGGCAAGGTGGGGCAGCGCCGGCACGGCGGGTCAGCGCCGGCCCCGGGTGGTGCGACCAAGATCCGCTCAGTGTTTGGAGAATTAGCACCGACAAAGCACAGGCCTACTAACCTTATTGGCATCGATGACGAGGTGCACCTTGAAGCTGAAGACATCCTCCAGCACCACCTCCTCGTTGCGATAGAGGATCTGGAAGGTCTGACTGACGGCACGCTGTTGATCGGTGCGCGCCGCCGCCACCGCCGTGTGCGCGTGCGCGTTGGGCGACGGCTCTTCGCATGTCACCTCAATCTGGTGGAGGAGCTTGGGAGATACCTGAAGACAGGCCTGGACCTGGTACAGCCTGCCAGCAGCACAAAATGAAAGTGGTCAGACAGAAGCTATCCACGTTATACAGCTACATCAAAATCTACTAACAAGATGACCAATTTCAACATAATCACATGGCCTAAGAAACTGTTTGACAGAATGTCATAGCCTACACATGTTCAATGTAAAAACTGTTAAAGAGAACACTAATCTTCAAGTAAGGTACCTTCCTGAAGCCAAGGGACACTGTCTTACAACTGTCCATGGGCAGGTTCACCAGATCTCTGAGTTCTGACCCTATAATCATCTCAGGAAAAGTTCATGTATGTTTAGCTGACTGCCCGGCCTAGTGGTGAAAAGTTAATAATTCAGAATGGCATGACATCAAGATAATGGCCACATCTTTAAATACAAACTCAAAATTCTATTGTATCATAAAAGCTGCACTAGCTGGTATAACTCTCTATGAAATATCATCCAAATAAACAAACAGGCTCAGGTGGTAAGTTTCAGTCTAGCCTCTAGGTGGCAGTGGATTCAATTACCAAGTGTTTGTTTTGTTGTGACTCATATTACCTTTGGCACACTGCTGCCCATATCTGACCCCGACTGGAAAAAATGCCTCCACTACGCTGAAGTTCTCGGCGGAGGTGATGCGCCGAAATTTCGGCGCAAGGGTTTATGCGCCGAAATTATTTTACCAAGCCATGCTTCATGCGCCGAAAATTTTCAAGGCTTACTGATGGCTGCAGGCTGTAGCCACGCACTTTTCGTCGAGGGGGGGGGGGGGGGCTGGCGTGTGTGTGTGGCTGTCTTCCAGTGACTACTGTCTACAGACGGTTGTTGGCACGGTCGACGGGATCGGGCAGACAATAGACATCAGCAGGCCATGCGGGACCGAGCACCAGCGTTCGCTATCACAAAATCTCCTGACTCACAAACTCACTGGCATGTTCCATAATGTAACCTTTATTTTGTTGCCCGGCTCTGATCAGCAGTAGTGCCCAACCGGTGACTGACGCCTGACGGGGCCTTCAACAGGCGTGGTGCAAGCACGGCCGATGGGATCGGGCAGATACCAGGCCACGCGGGACCAATTGCCAGCGTCCGCTCGCAAACCACACGCCGGAAATACAGGAATCACAACGGTCAATACGCACACGATAGCATACGTTATCTGAACTAGGGAATCCGACAATCCATAACCTCACTCTCGACCGGTGAACTGTTCCCGCCGTGGGAGAGTCACAATCAGGTTCACTGAACATGACTTAAATACCCTGAGACGAACACGAGACAAGATAAGTGATATTTAAGATGTTTAACCCTAGAACGCCTAGGGGGGGCACAGTGATGCAAATGGGGCTCACGAGTGGCCATAAATACCGAAAAGGCCCAAATTTCAAGTTCACCTAATTGAATAAATCGTAATATGGCCAGTCAGGCAAATGTTTGAAGTGTCTGAAAAAACATAACTTTAATGTTTTTGTCAAAACCGGCCTCGTGTATGACTGTCAGAAGTCGTGACATTTTCTATGTCGTAAAATGACTGTCAGATACTCGCAGCTTCAAACGCCGCTAGCGTGCGTCCATTTCATACAAATGACAAAAATTATACATGGCAATGATCCCCAAGGTCTGCTGCTTCTAATGCAGGGTCACAAAAAGCCGTATCTCTTTTGGTTTGGCGTTGATATAACTATTTGTCATCATGTTGCAATCGCAGTTTTTTATTTAAAAATATTTGCTTTCGTTTCACATAGAGCAGTTTGCACAGTGTGTGCCCGTTAGTGCACCATACCATAGCATTCCCTAATCATTTCTGAGCCGCACTGTGAAAGAATGAAGGCGCTAGCACAGGGCTGACCGGCGCTGCTAAAGTTTTCGTCCGTTGCGGTCGGGTGCCGCGGAGCGGTGGGCAGCCCGGGCGGCCGCGCCGCGGGCGGGCGGCCTCAGCGGGGGTTCGTCGGTGCATCCCTCTGCTGTTCCTAAACAAAGTGTCCTATCGCCTCGCGACAAAAACCAATGGATTGCTCTTGACAAGATCTCGCGAGTGAGCATATTACTTTTGACTTAAGGTCAATATTTGACCTACTTATAACAGTTCAAAGTTAAACGTCTGTCGAAATTGCGATCCGCGGTGAAAGCAATCCGCCCCGACCGCGACACCCGACCACGCCGGACAAAAACTTCAATAGCGCCGGTCTGCCCTGTGCTAGCGCCTTAATTCTTTCACAGTGCGACTCAGAAATGGTAAGGGAATGATATGGTATGGTGCACTAACGGGCACACACTGTGTAAACTGCTGTAGGTGAAACGAAAGCAAATATTTCTTAGTAAAAAACTGCGATTATAACATGATGACAAATGATTAGAACACCGCCAAACCAAAAAAGATGCGGCTTTTTGTGACCCGGCATGAGAAGCAGCAGACTTTAGGGATCATTGCCATGCATAATTTTTGTCATTTGTATGAAATGAACGCACGCTAGCGGCGTTTGAAGTTGCGAGTATCTGACAGTCATTTTACGACATAGAAAATGTCACGACTTCTGACAATCATACACGAGGCCGGTTTTGACAAAAACATGCAAACTATGTGAATTCAGATGCGCCAAACATTTCTTTGGTTAGCCATATAGCGATTTACTCGGTTTCGTAAACTTGACTTTTTTGTATTTATGGCCACTCGTGAACCCCATTTGCATCACTGTGGGGGGGGGGGTTGTATCACCCCCCCCCCCTGAGGTTTTTTTCGAAGTGCACGCTAAACGGCTTGTCGTAGCGGGCTGAAATTTTCAATACCCTCTGGGGCAACCTTTGCGCATCTTTTGCCGAAAAAAATTGATCGGGTCATGTCAGGTCACGGAGTTATGACGTCATAAGAGGTACAGCCTCCGGCCGACAGTTACCAAACGTGTGCGCCGAATCCCTAGGTTTTCTGCCGGTGATACCCACATTGTTTGATGGATCATGATGAAACTTCCCATGCATGTTGGGGCAAGCATTGGCTATCGTGTGGTGCAAGAAAATTGACCGGGTCAGGTCAGGTCACGGAGCTATGACGTCACAAGAGGAACAGCGTCCGGTACTATTTTTGAAAAGCGCCCGAACCACTATTTTGCTAATTCTTGTCACCTCAATGGGAATATGCAGCAATATTAGCTTCTATAGGGAGCAAATGGACCTCCCAAATCCAAAAATACAATCAGATTTCAAAAATTTAAATTTTGATTTTTCGAATTTCTGCCGCCGACTGTGACCTTGCCGACTTCCGGCGCTCCCAACGCGCCATTTTTAGAGCTAGGGAAACGAAATACATACCAAACGATAGAGAATTGATCAAGGAACACGATAGTGAAGGTTTCAAGTCGATATCTCCCACCGTTTTGCCGCAATCGCCGCGGAAAGTGGAAAAAGTTTGGTTTTTTCGGAAAATTTGACCTTTGACCGGTCATAAGTAGGTCAAATGTTGACCTAGGACCAAAAAATATACCACCAATCGCGAGATCTCGTTGAGAGCAATCCGTTGGTTTTTTCCGCTAAGCTCTACGACCTTCCGTTCGAAACGCCAGGGGGGGGGGTCGTAACAACCCCCCCCCCCTGGTCGTTCGTGTTATGAGAAATGGCCTGGTCGTGCGAGGGTTAACTCCCGAAGACATTTAATCCTCGCCGGCCGAGGGGGGTTGGTGCCACCCCCCTGACGGTTTTTTTCGCGATTTACGCCGAAGTACGCCGAAAATTTCGGCGCAAGCCGTCGCCTTACGCCGAAGTACGCCGAAAGTTTTCGGCGCAAACGCCCAACTACGCTCGAGTTCTCGACGAAAGCGTGCATTTTTTCCAGTCGGGTATCTGACCTTTCAACACAAGTACATGCCTGCCTGCCATGGCAGGATTAATCAAACTGGTGAGGTAGTGTAACTCCTTTTACTTACCCTCGTTGGAATAGGTCGACATTGAAGAACTTGTGTAGCTCAACTGAGATCTCAACTGTGGCTTGAAGTTCTCCCATGAAATGCGCACTGTAAATAAGGAAGGTAAGAGTTTAGTAGGTATATTACCAGTTACCACCATTGTGTGGAGAATCACTGGAGATTATCGCTTGGGTGAATGCAAAGTAGAATAAAGCTCAGGCTACAATAACAGTCAGATTCCCCGCTTTACTTTTCCTACTTCTGCAGTTTCTGAGATAACCACTCTTAGATAATGAGCATACTTTGATGACATGACTCATGGACCTGGCAAGTGTCAGCTAGCACCCAATTACTCCTTGATGGCACAAAGTGTCAAAAAATTGAGCAAAACTTCATTTTCACCATTACCGAGGTTAGAATCGAGTAAGCAGTTTTGTCCGTGGAAGTTATGCATTGGGCACATTGCAATGCAAGCTCAACAGCATGAAATCACCACTGTTCTAATATCTAGCTCCAAAATCATATGGAAATTATTGGGAAAAATTGGGGAAAATCACGGGTTAAAATAAGTCAAAATTTGATTTTCTCAGGCTGTTTTTGCTCGTTTCACTGGCTAAAAATCATCAACCTAAGGCTAGTTTAAACCGTACATACCAGCCTAAGACAAAACAGCGACAATATCTTACACAGAGCAACGTCGTAGTTGAAACTATTTAAATCTTAATTCCTTGATTTTCATCTAAATTGTTTACTGACTGACAACACAAAGCAGACAGTCCAAAAGCTCCAATCTCCAATTTATTATGCATTTATTTCCGGCCAGAATTGAGCAGAAGTGCGCAGCTTTTGAACCACAACAAAAGCTGCCACCCTGCCACCCTGCCCGTAAATATGGAAGCACATGATGAAGAAATGAAGGAAATTACTTCTGCCAAACGTTTAGTTGCGTTAAGGAAAGTAATCTTGGCGTTTAGGGACTTATTGAAACATAGATACCTACATATAAGGACCATTGCGATAAGTTAATATTCAGGACATCGTTCTGCGGTCACATACGTAACTATCCATGGGATCGTAGAGCGAAAGACACCCTATCGTATCGATAGTGAATGTGTGCAGACTGTCGACAGCCGTACAAAAGAAGGAATATCTCCAGACAAATTGAAGAAGCTAGCTAGACTGTCATGAAGTATACTGGTGAACGCTTAGCATCCTAAAACCGTAAAGGATACCATAATAACCAGTATCTGCTTGCATACAGTAAAACACTCATCATATTGAACAAGTTTATTCTCACTTCAGAGTTCGAACAGAGTCGGAAAAATAATACGCTTTATTAGTCACAGCTATTAAAATAAGTCCCCAACCACAGCGTGATATTATAGTGCGCGGACGCCGTCACCGACACCGCGTTTATCCCTGAGAATTCGAAAGTCTGGGTGCGTCGACGCACGTCCGGCTCTCACAGGGGCGGTAGGTAGTCCCTCTGCCTCATCACTCGCCAGGCGTGCTGCGCCGACAGGGGCAAACACGGCACGGCAACGGTAGTGAGCGCACGCAGCAGATACAAAATATCACAGGACGAACGGGCCGGGCGGCCGCCGACGGCTGCCGCGGCCAGGAACGGCGCTCGCCGGCCCACCACTCTGCCGGGGGCTGCGGGGAGCTCACCGGCTGACCACTCTGCCGGGAGCGGCGCGGCGCTCACAGACACACCACTCTGCCGAGAGCGGGGACCTCTCGCCGGTCCACCTCTCGGCCGGCGGCGGGCAGCTGGCGCGCGGCGCCGAACCGGGGCGGACGGCCGCTAGGTGTCGCCGCGGACGGCCGCTAGGTGTCGCCTCGGCCGCGCTGCGCCGGCGCCGACGGCGGGCTGCGCGGCGACAGGGACACACAGGCGTCTCCGACAGCCAGCTGATGGCAGGCCAGGCTGTACTGCTGCAGACTGCGGCGCGGACTGCACGACGCCCAGCCGCGGTGGAACACGAAGAACGGGTGCTCCAGCTGAGCCTCCACCGTCACCTGCGCGGCACACAGTGAAAAGTCAGCGTCAAACGACCGCGGGCCGACGGCCCACACAGCACTACAGCGAGGCACGGCAGTCCGGGCAGACAGCCGACTACGGAGGACTGCGGCACACAGAGCATTACACACAGCGTCTAACACGTCAAACACGGGTGCGACCCCGCGGGCGGACGGCCCACACCTGCCACTCCAGGGAGACAAGGCGGGCAAACAACACCGCGCTACACTCAGTCTGATGTTCAAATGGCTAAACAGACGTTCATTATGAAGCCATTACTTCATTACTTGACATGCCACAACTCCTGCTATGATACCTATCAGAACGGAAATCATGGGCACGGGTATCAGCAACGCCTTAACCGTCTACCCCGACATGATAACACCGGGCTTCGATATCAGCCCCAGCCACCACGCGTCTGCTGCCTGGCTGTTACTCCCTCGCAGTCACTTTTCTCCACCAATGGACGCCACCTTCACCTATTTCATCCGCAACAGTTTCATCCCCATTGGGCGCTCACTGCCAACCTTTCCGCCTCACACCGTAATTCGCCCACGGTGCACTCGTTCGTCTACCCTATCACTAAACAAACACCCACCAGCTATGTACCCTGTCCAACCATCCTCTCCGCCTCATAACCTGCCCTGTGATCGCTCGCCACTTCCCCAGTCCACCAAGTAACCCCTGGTCGCTCGACACCCACCTCCGTGCCGCTGGGACCGACGGCGAAGGCGATGTGTGCGGTGGCCCCGAGCTGGTCGATTCGCTTCACGACGCTGCGGTCCAGTCGCAGCTCGGCACACCGGTCCGCCGACGACTCAAAGTCTTCGGTGCGCAGCTCCTCCACCCGCTTCAGCCGGCCTGGCAACAGGGGGAAGCAAACAGTGGTCAGACGACGTTCAGTGGTCAGAGGGTGGTCAAGGGTCGGTCAGTGGTCAGAGGGTGGTCAGAGTCGGTCAGTGTCAGTGGTCAGTCAGAAAACGATCATACGGTGGACGAAGAACAGTCGGTGGACGTTAAATCGTTAGGGGAAGGACGGTCAGTGATGGGAAGATGGACAGTGATTCAGGCCATGCCCCATCGAGAGCTGTGTGGGACGGACTATATGAGACCATTCACACTGGCAGATCGGTCAGTTCAAGCACAAACAGATAAGATACGCGAGTCCCAGGACAGGAACAGAAACGCAGCGCGTAATCGGCGCACAGCACCGGTCAAACAGTGTTCGGACGGAGGGAATCGCAGGGGAGAGACGCTCAGAAACAGGCGGCGCAGGAAGCCTGCAAAAGCGCCAGGGCAGATTGCTGACCGGGAGAGCTTCAGAGCTTGTGAAATAAAAAAACACGGAAGAAAATATTTGCGGATGGAGGGATGCTGCAAAATGTTAAAAATAATTAAGTGAATCTCTAGAGCCGGAAGTAGTGCAGCTCAAGAATCACCTATAAATCTACTGCCAGTGCCAACCAGCTGCAAAAATAGCAGGTTGACATTCGTCTCGAGCAGATCTATTTCGGTTGGAAATGAATTGCCGTAAACTGTCCTCTTTGGTTTGCTGAGAGGCCCTTCTCGGAAGGAGGCTGAGCCAATCTTAGATAGGACATCGGCTTTTGGAGCGCGGCAATGATTACAATTTACAAGATAGCATTAGCGATACTTAGGGATTATTCGCCATAAGAACAGACCATTCACGGGTCAGAAAAAAACGTTATTTCGGTACATTTGAGGGTCTATGGACGTGGCATCCGTTGTTCTCCGAAATGTTTCAAGCTGCTGTTGCTCGGACCTCCCTGACAGCATCTATACCCCCCCCCCCGGGCGCCTACTCTGCCAGGCCTCTCCTCAGCCCCCCCCCCCCCGGCGGGCAGCGGCCCAGACGGCCTGACGCCAGCCGCCGGCGGGGCCGTGTCTGGCTCAAAGGTCAGCCGACCCAGCCAACACCGCTCGGAGTGCGATGCGGGCGACATCCGACCACGTGGGCTGTGGCGTGTGGGGAGCTCCAGGGGGAACCGGTCTCACGCCCACAGCCCGGAGGAGAAGGTGGGCAGCGAGACAACTAATCCAACAAGCTCAGAGGCGCAAGGTACATACGTAGCGGTGCTAGATCCGTAGTCTGAAGCCTTGGTCTCAGTTAAAATCACTTCTGAGATAAGTAAGAGGTATCACGGTCACCTTCGAAGTCACCAATAACTTATCCAGAGGAAGTACTTACCGTTGGCCTCGGTAAACAATAGTCTGCCTACTGATTACGTTTAGCAATTAACGTACCAAAATAACCGAATCTGAATTGAACAGCTAACCAAGGAGCATATCACAGTTACTAAGTCACAAGCCTGTCACATCAGAATTGCAGTTCCTGCCAGACTTCCTTTCCTCCTTTCCCTTCCTCCGCCCAGACAGCTCAGCATCCAGTCCCAGTCCCGTTGCCGTCCGCCGCCCGCCCACTCACCGTCTGCCAGTTCGATGAGCGAGCCGCAGCGGAAGTGCTCGGGCGGCTCGTAATGGTCGTTGCTGACTGCTGACGGCGTCTCGGCCTTGCTGCGGCCGACGGCGGCGGTGGCGGCCGGCCGCTCCCGGCTCGCCTCCAGACGCGCCCGTTTGGCCGGCGGCGGCAGCTCGCTGGTCGACTGTGTAGTCAGCATACGCGGCGGTGGCGGCGGCGGCGGCGGCGGCGGCGGCGGCGGAAGCCTAGGTGGCGGGGGCGGAGGAGGCGGCGGTGGCGGCGGGTCCTCGGCGGCGCTGTGCCGGCGCCGTCCGTTGGCCGAGTAGCCGGGGTTGGGCTGGACGGCAGAGGGCGCGGCAGAGCGCGGCGGCGTGCCGGCCGCCGGCGGGGGCAGCACGCCGCCCACGTGCGCCGGGTACTGGGCCGGCACCCTCAGCACGCCGTCCTTGCCGGCCGCCCCGTAGCCGCGCCCCTCCTCCGGCCCCGGCCGGAACGACGGTGGCGCCGCTCTGGTGGCCGCCGGTGGCGCCACCACCCGCTCCTTGCCGACCGCCTGTCGAAAGTCGACCGGGTAGAGGGCGCGCGTGTCGGCCGGCGCGGCGGCGGGCAGCGGCGGGTAGACCGGGTAGCCGTAGCCCGGGTAGACGGCCTGCGAGGTGGCCGGGTAGCCGAGGTGCAGCAGTGAGGAGGAGTTGGCGACGCCAGCGTGATGGTAGGACGGGTAGAGCGCGGCGGCGGGCTCGGCGGCGGCGGCGGGCGGCGGCTTGAGCGCGTCGCGCCCAGCGCTCATCAAGCAGCCGAGCGGAGGAGGGAAGAGCGGCGGGAACGGCGGCGGCAGGCGGGACTCACCGGCCGCCAGCGGCGCCGACAGCAGCATGGCGGCACCTGCAGACACACAGACACACAACGTCAGGCACAGAGCATAGATACACACACATACAGTCAGTCATAGAGGACACATACACAGAGACACAGCGTCGGTCACAGATCATAGATACACAGACACATACAGTCATACAGGACAGATATACACAGACACATAATCGTCAGTCACAGGGCAGAGACAGCCAGGGGAAAACCACGAAGCAGTGCCGGGGCGGGGGCCTGGCACGGGTCGATCACTGGGCGACAAGAAAATCCGCGCTAACATATCGCTGCACACGGAGACGGAGCACGCAGCACAGCTCGCGTCGCCCCTCGGCGGCGGAAGAGAGTCGGTGCCGGGGCGGGATCGATGGTAGCGCGGCTGGCGAGCCGGGACAAACACAGACCCCCGGCAACAGCGAGCGAGCGAGCGGCAGACGCGGGGCGGACGCCCACCGCGCAGCATCCGCCCCATTCAGACGGCGCCGGCCGACGACACGGCCGCGGGCGCGCCGGAGCCCGGCGCCCGGCGCCCTCCAGCCGACCGACCCCCGGCGACACGGCCGTGTCATTCACATGTGGCCGCCGCGCTGTGAGGCCGGCCGGCCGACGGTCGGCGGCTGGCGGCGGAGCGACCGCTGCACGGCGCCGGGGTCAAACACTCGAGCCGCCGCTCCCGGGAGCCGCCGTTTCTGGATCAATGCGTCTGGGGGCGGCCTGCCTACCTGCCTGCCTCCGCCGTGCAGCGCGCACTATGCAACTGGGCAGGGGAGGCGGCGGCGGTCCGAGAGAGAGAGAGAGATCGATCTCCGTCGGGGGCGACACGCCGTCTGGGCCGGCCGAGTTCAAACGCCCCAGCGTCACCCAGAAACAGCAGGGAACTGCAAACTGATGGCTGCACAGTAAATCTCCCGGGGATCGGGATCTTACCGGGTGAACCCAGCTTGAATACATCCACAAAATTACACAGCGCTGAAATAGAACATAAATTCTGCAATGGAAAGGACGCCGACGAGCGAGGCAAACAAGTCTAGACTCTAGACAACATTCGCAAAGTTACGCTAAATATAACCGACAACAAGCGCATATTCGACCTCTGAGGCCTTTCAAGGGCACCAGAGCGCAAGCCGCCGGGAAGGAGAATGTGCAAACAAAACAGGACTTTCAAGAACAGACGACACTGTGAAGGCTTTGTCGGGATCACAGACATTCTCCTGCAGGGGCTCGCCGGAAAAAGAAAAAGACTGATACAGTATCCTACCGCGCACGACGTAAGCCACCATGATTCGATATCAATCACACAGATAATGGAGCGAGTATACTCGCTCTAGCTGCACGATAAACGTCGTGAATATGCGGGGCGAGGGCACACTGCGTACCATCCCGGGACGCCACAGCACAGTCGCCGGGGCGAGCGACGTCCATACTGTACGGAGGCTTATATAGGAGGACGACAGAAACTGATCCAATCAGTCACTGCGTCACGGCGGCAGAGACACAGCACAGCGGAGGTGACAGAGATACGTGACGGGAAGAGGTGACAGAGTCCGTGCGGCCCGCGCCGCCGCTGCAGCGCCGCCGATGGCCGATATGGGTACGCGGCACCCTGCCGACCTCTGAGGCCGCCCAGCACTCGAGCCAAGGACGCCACCTGAGTCACGATGGCCTATCGAGGAGCAGCGTCACTCGACCGCGCGAGCCCAGACTCATGGGGTGATACCGTTATCTACGGCGCGTCACAGCCAAACCCCTCACCGTGTCATATGACACCTACCAGTCTGTGGTGCGATTGCGAGGCATTTCCTGCAGACAAAGCGGTCCTGCGGCCACCGTCAGCCCGTACTGCCTCCATTGTACATAGCATCCTCCCAGCGTCAACAGTCCCTATTTGATCTTTCCGCTACTGATTGGAGCATTGCAAGAAATCACATGGCCCATGACCAAGACAAAGAACCATTTGACGCGTCTAAGAAATAAAGAGCAATGGCACTTGAGAGATTCCATTCACGTTCACAAGGCCGTCGCTCTGAACAAGTGCTGTGTAAACTCATCAGCTCCGAGCTGTGCTGCAGCACTGCACCGAGTGGCGGCCAGCTGGGTGGGTGGTTCACAGCTCCGCCCGCGGCACCGGCTGTAGGTATTCGGCGGGCGCCGGGCAGCAGGTGAGCCGCAGCACGCCACCGCACCCGGACACCAGCGACCACCCGGCCCCGGTGGGCAGATGTACGACGGCCACCCCCGCCGGTCGTGGCGGTCGGCTCAGCGGCGGCCGCAGCTGGGCCGGGTCGGCAATCACGGCCTGCACGCCCCGCCGTGAGTCAGCGCTAGGAGCGCACCGGGTAGACGTGGGCGCCCCCGGCGCGGCCTTCACAGTCACCTTGCCACGGAGGCACCGGCCGCTCAGCCGGGACAAAGTAGACACGCCAGCGAGCGCGCCGAATCGTGCAAAAACGCCCGAGCGTATACGGCGCCGGCCTTGCTGCCGGTCGTAGGACGGTGTGTGATTGGGGGCACACGACTGTGGCATGTGAGGCGCTCCTACCAGATGCAACCGCCCACCGACCCGCCGCCCACGCTGGCACGAAGAAATATATGGTAGCTTTAGAAGATGAGAATGATCTTCAAACGAAAAAATCAAAATGCATTGGCCATGGCTTTTCTGAGCTATGATGAAGGATCGTCATTGAAAACTGTACTGGTAAGCTTTGGCACACACCCGCATTTTGCAAGCATGCAGAGAGCATACCTTCCTATCGTTGTATCTTGTATAATTGTGCAATGTGTCTGCGGATTATGTCCCGGAGTTGTTTACCACACCTTCAAATAAACACTCCACGGAAAAGCCGAGAGGGTCTGTAAACCGGCCCCGCCTGCAGGGTGTACCATAAGTACCGGCGTCCCACGTCCGGCGACCCAGGCAGAGTTTCGGCGAGTCATCGCCGGTATTATGGCCATGATGTGATGTCTTGTTGGACGTCCACTCACAATCCAGTCATGACTCGAATCAATCACTCACGACACAAACAGTTCTGTCAAAAATCAGACACAGGCAGTTTATCACAGGCCGAGTATGGAAACCAGCAGCCAGTTCACAGATGGCAGCGGGGTTCTAGGTTTGTCCGACGTTGGGGACAGTGATGTCAAACAGCGCGGGCTGCCCTCATGGGTACGGACGGAGCCACAGCTTCGGACACAGCCGTACAGCTGAACACGCTGCCTTTGGGGAGGCAGTGCAGCCGACCATACTGTCTCAGAGGAGCGGCAGTGCAACCGACCACACTGTAGAGCAGCGGCAGTGCAGCTGACCACGCTGTCTGTGGGGCGGCAGTGCAACCGACCACACTGTAGAGCAGCGGCAGTGCAGCTGACCACGCTGCCTGTGGGGCGGCAGTGCAGCTGACCACGCTGTCTGTGGGGCGGCAGTGCAACCGACCACACTGTAGAGCAGCGGCAGTGCAGCCGACCACGTTGTTTTATATGAGCGGCAGTGCAGCCGAGCACCCTGCCTGTGGGGAGGCAGTGCAGCCGACCACGCTGTCTCAGAGGAGCGGCAGTGCAGGCGACCACGTGGCCCAGGTCACGGCGGCGGCTGGAGTCGGATGGAGCAGCGTCTGTAGGGAGCCGGGAGCGGCGACCCGAGGGCGCTGGGAGGTGGGAGCAGCGGCCGGAGGCCGGCGGGAGGCGGGAGCGGCGGCCGGCGGGAGGGAGGCGGAGCGGCGGCCGCCGGCAGATGGCCACTCCCGCTGCACACGGCCAGCCATAATCCGTCCAGGAATGCAGCCGGCGTCGGCCGAGGCTGCACTGCACGCCACCGCCGCCGGCAGTGGCCGCGCCGCCCCACCGGCCTGCCCCGGGCCGGCGCTGTCCGAGCAGACCTCCTGCCACGGTAGCAGATCGGGCAGCTGTAGCGGCTATTTTTAGACACGGATGTTTAAGTGTGATCTCTTGCAACGAAACATGTAGCTCGTAGATCTACCTAATGCACATTGCACCACACTGAATGAGCGAAAATTGTGCGAAACATTTTGTCTAAATAAAGTAGAGCAGGATTACGAATGCAATCAGTGCCAACATGGCTACCATCATCGCTTTGTAACCGACCACGCGCAGCGTGTCGGGACTCGGGTGCGCGGTGTCGGGCACGAGGCAGGCCACGTGCGAGTCACCCTGTCAACATGCGCCGTAACCGGTCAGCCATACCGTCAGCGTGTCATTGTGCTGGGGTGGGTGCCCACGCCGGGGCGCGGTGGGTGCCCTGATCACTGATGGCCGGGCGGGGCAGCGACAGACCGCGACCGTAATATGCCCCTGATGGCCGGCAGTTCAGGGAACGGGTGGGGCGGGCCGGTGGACCGGGCGGGTCGGCAGGTGCCACCAAACTGTGCCGAGACCGCCGACCGCCAACTTCCGCCACCATCCCGTCCACAGCGGGGTCAATCAGCTCTACCGATGCCTGGTCACGGCCCCGGCAAACATGTGCCATTATGGCGAGCAGGCAGTCGAGTGGTATTGTACCGTGACCACTGCGATCTAACAACTTGTTTCACTTCTCAGTAGTAACTACTGCGGAGCTGGAAGCCTGTCAGCAGCATGCTTGTTTTCCGGACTGGCGAGCTTTCTGCATGAAAGGACGGTCCAATTCGCTGCTTGCAAAGCCGCTTCGCAGCATTAAGTTACATAAGAAAACCAGGCACACTACACCACCTGCTAGGTATAGGTAGTGGTTACCTGCTAGATGATTATTTGTTTGTATACTGGGCTCAAGGGCGCGTCGACTGCAGTGGCCATTTGGCATCTATATCAACTAGAGGTGGCAAAAGATGAAAATTTTGGGAACCAGACTCGAACCAGACCCGACTGGACATTTCTGGAACCAGTCGGACCCGGTATTAGTTGGAATCGGAACCAGTTGGACCCGTTCCCCAAAAGTCGATTAATGCAAACTACTTGTAGTTATCATTAGTTGCATCATGTAAAACAGCCTATTTCTCACTGGGAATACTCATGAGCTACTGTGTGCA